GCTAATTGTGTCTGTGCTGTGAATTTGATTTACAATTGATCTCTAAATTGTAGTTTTCTTCTAATTACTTACCTTGTCTAGACGTGTTCTTTGGAATTCTGTAAGGAAGTCTCTGCTGTTAGTATTCCGTTTAGGTACGTTACTATTTAAATTTTTCAGTTTGTGCTTGTCCCTGCAGTGACACAATTCCTATTGTTGATAACTTTCTAAGTACTAAGAGAATATTGCAAACCGCTATTGAACACAAACAATCAATAAACAATTTACAAACTAATATTTTTATTTATTTAATTAACCTACATAAAAGCCCCACTCACATCAGTCACGCTGTCGAAAAAGCAGTTGTCCTTACACTGGCTGGCATATACTTCGGGGAGTTGCCTGTGGGCTATTATAGCTAACTAGCTATGATAAGTAAATACCTATTTAGAATACATAGTACCTACAGTAATATTTGCATAACTTATAATAAAATACAAAACATTAAAAAAATAATTATTTAACACTTTTTTCTGTTTGTTTTAGAAATCGGTTATATTTTTTCAAAAAAAATTTTTAATGCATCTTTAGTTGAGATTTATGTCCCTTTAGTGGGTACAGGCGTGATATACTGTGTGATTGCGTAAACAATGCATAGATACGCGATAGCAGCATGGCGGTTAATTTGCTATAATTTATTGTAGAGTTCCGTCGATTTCTCCAAGATCCCTTCATCAGATCCTAACCTGACCATCACCGATTATCTGGAAAGTATATTCTTTCAAACAAAAAAATAATTTTCCAAAACGGTTCAGGTATCTTCGAGAAATCGAGGATCAGAACATACATAAACAAAACCAACGAATTGAGAACCCCCCTCCTTTTTTAGAAGTTGGTTAAAAATTAAGTAAAAACAAATCAATGAAATTATTATATAATAAAAACATCTACTTAACTTAAATTCACATGAGAACTTTCATAATTACAACTAAATTGGGTTCATAATAATTACGTTTCACACAGCAGATCCAAAGTTCTAATAACACCAATTTGTTTCCTCTCTCTTATCTCTTTTTAAAATACGTTACCCCACAGTAGAATTTTCTCCTGTATCGTGGAGGCAGTTCACAAACATAAATTGCACAAGGACAAACATAAAAAGCGGAACACGTATTTGTAGGCCATACAAATACGTGTTCCGTGCGGGATTTGAACCCGCGACCACCAGCGCACCCACAGATTGCTAAGCCACTGCGCCACGGAGCTCTATCAATTACCGTTTAAATTTATGTTGTCATTCGAAGAATCGCGTAGGTAGGTACGCGATGACGCCGTCGCACATTGCGTCACTCAGGAGTGCGTATGTTGTGTGCACAAGCTTCTTACTGCTCATCACAGCGTCTATCCCTTTCGCACGTGATGTCGCCTGAAATAGCATGCATTTTAACTAACCCAGCCCACCATTTAGTTCATGCTATCGACTAGGGCAACCTTAAGACGGTATATTCAATTTGCTTGATGTCACATAAACGTGAAACGTTGCAAATGATAATCGGTAACCCATTATTTCGGCTCGGTTCTCATACATAGGTCAGCGGATTGGGGGGACTATGTGGACTACGGGGGACGGATTATCTTCTCGCTAGGTGATCTCAAAAAATTCTTTGCTGAGTCTGTCGCCGATGTGGTGCTTCAGGTGATCCTGTCATCCGTAGTGCCTACCGGCGGGCAGATCCCAGTATTGGTTTAGACGCTCTTGCAAATTTGCGTTGCGGTAAGAGCAGGAGTCTTAAAAGGCCTTGGCCGACGCATCGGCGTTCCGAAAACTCCAGGTCCTTCATAAGAGTATTAAGTAGTGGCCCAGTTTTAGTATTTAAACGGTGGTAGTGGGTTCGAATGCGCTATTTGATTATGTGGTGAAACACTATTAACCCAATAATTTTAAGTATACGAGTATATAATCATAGTGAATAATGAGGGTATTAGTAATATCAATAGTGTTACTAGCATTCTTTTAAAATATTATCTAGTATCTTGGAACAACTTGCTTGGATATTTTCATGCAAAATTATGGCATTAAAAAAAGACTGTTGTATATGACACAGATTATTTATTTCTCTTAAAACAGTAAAGAAACGAGTAGTTATTTCAAATATTTTGATAAAGACCAGACACTATTATTTAAACTAAATCAAGATGTTTACGACTAAGTAATTAATTGTATGTACATATTCACTTAATACAAAACCCAAAATGAATATTGTTTTATTATAAACGTATTTAAAACAATTCACGCCGAGAACATAAGAAAGACTAGTGAAATTTATAATCATTTTAGAACAATGTAAAAAATTATCCGGTATATAAACTAATGTTCATATTTAACAAAAATTTCTCTTAAAAATGTTCAATAGCAGTTATTTGTGATTGTCTGTATATTTGTCTGACCGAACGAATAGTGATCGCATAGTAAATTGAACATTGATTAATTACTAATTTCTAATCACTAAGTCATAGTGTAGATAATACATTTGGTAAAATCGAATTAAACAGTTCAACTAACTACAATTTTGTAAATTGTTTGGATGTTTTACAAACCAATCATTCCAAAAATACTTCTTTTCAAAGGCACCCCCAAAATAGTTGACCGAGTAATTGTAAATGCTTGGCATTATACTTTTCGTAAAAAATAATATCTTATAATTTTACCATTAACAAACTACAAATATTCTTTATGAAAAACATTTTTTTTAAAACATGTTTATTAAAGTACATGCTGGGTTCTTGCATAAATTGTCAATTTATTTGAAATTATTTGAGATTAACGAGCAAGGTTTTTAATGAAAATCATACTGTATTCGTATTTAGATCTCATTAAATTTAAAAGATAATATAGTAGTACAATATAAGAAGCAATAAAATATTATATAGTTCAATTAATTATTAAAATCAGTTACATAGAATGTAAACATACATATTGTATTAAAAGAACTGGTTGTCTGGAAGAAATTGCTATCAGCAATAAGACCGCCCATTGCATACTTCTTTTGTATATATAATTAGTAACTTTTATATGGTGTGCAATAAAGAATATTAAATAAACAAATAATATTTTTATAATTGTGTTACTATTATATTAAATTACAAAAGAAAAAAAAAACAGTCTTAAAAATTAAAAAAGAAAAAAAAAGTGTTTCGAATAAATGAGGAGTCCGTCGATAGACTCCACATTTCTTGTGGGGTGGTGGCAGAGTGGTGGACTTTCTCTAAACCTTCTCAGAATAGAGTGGCCTGTACCCATGATGACCAGTGGGACGTAGTAGGTTTTAACATGTAACGTATAGATTCAATTTTCCCTCATTCTTTTTCGCTACAAAAGCGTAAACGTTTATCAAATCCTCTCAAATAAAAATGATTTCGAAATTATGATTTCTGTGATAATAATTCCAAACTCAAACCTACAATAAACATGAATAAAATAGCGACTGCTTAAATTTCGACAAAAAACTTTTGAAGTTTATTTTAGTCGTTTATATATTCTGTCTATATATATATTCTTATCGAAATTATAACTATCCTTTTATTCAATATTTCATTATATTCATATATAAATAACAATTAATTGAAAGCTCAGATGAAGCAACATGTGTAAATAACAAGCGTTGACAGCATTGTAAATCAGTAAAATAACTTAGAACTAGAACTAGAGTTAGTCTTAACAACTAAGTGACATCATTTCGTTTAATAATTTTGTCTTATACAGTTTAAGGGTATCCTGTATTTGATATTAGCGTTATATTATGTAGAATCTTTTATGGCCAATATTTTATTAGTCTGATAAAATTATAATACATCAAATAAATTATAACCCGACTGGATACAAAAGTGAAACAGTTGAACTTGATCAGACAACAGAATACCACTGTAATTTCTCATTTGTTCATGTTGTATTTTATCCTATGAATAACTTTTATCTCATTATGAAATTCGGCCTTAATATTTTAATTTTGTAAATGCAAAAGTACGTCTTTTTTCATTTAGGTAATTCGTTTTTTTATTTGTATTTAGATTTAGTACAAAATCAAATTTAAATGTGAAGGTGTACATGTGTTAATATTTATGTTATGTTATGTAAAAAGTTATCCGGGAACAAAAGATGCAAAATTTGATTCTCTACAATAATGGTTTCTATAACTTTTGCCAAAAAATGCGTTTAGAAATTATGAACGTCAAATTATGTGTACTCTACACGTGGCAAATATTAATGAATCTGGGACGCCCTTGAACTTAAACTCGTCGCTAGGAAAGAATTTAACTTCAAATTATTAGGTAGTATTTGGGCGATTGTCCTTAATTGGCGTTAGAAAAAAAAATTCTTAGGGATTACGATAATTTTCTTTGACATTACATTTTGATTTTTATGCATTGCACTTATACACTTAGTAACAGGTGAACTGTGTGATTATTTATCATTATGTTTATAACAAAAAATTATGCTGGGTTACTCAGTACCTTGTACCGGCTATTGTATATCAATATGTTGTTGTCAAACACACCGTTCTGTGTCAGGTTTAAATTTAGAACTTACGCTTACTTAGTTATAGTTCAAAAAACTCATTGATGAACATATGTAGGACGGGGCGCTTGACAAATATGTATTTAACATATTTGATGTTATTTTTAAATTGCTGTTTTAAGTTACGGCTAAATAAGAAGTGTACATCGCTTGCTGGCCGATGGCGGGCTCACTGCCCGTTGGACGCATATTACTCAGACCGGAGACTTAGGTACATCATATTAAGTAGGATTTATGTAGGTCATAATCAGCTCTGATTCTTACTCAGCAAATCACGCAATTATTGCAACCAAAAGCAATAATAAGCAACAATAATTTTGTCACTTTCAATGATTAACATATGTTATACATATGTCCAAAAATATGTAAATATTGTTCGTTGTATACTGTAAAAACATATTGTGAATATAAACATGTTATTAAAATCGCCAAAATTTCATCGTTATCAGCCACTTTTGTTAAAAGAGGCCGCCGACCTCAACTTCTTGCGGTTCCTAGGTGAGGTCCAGCGAGGAACCACGCGGGATTCACTGAATGTCACACCCTCGTCGACATCATCAGCTTCAGTTTTTATCTCCATTTTCTGTAACGAAAAAGATCTTCAAAGTAACTCATAAAATAAATAATATGTATATGGGTATAGGCACACATAGACAACCTTTTAGTGACGTGTCTCGAATTCCAAGTTGTAACTCCATTTGAAGCAAATATGTAAACAGTATAAACTATTGTTTTCTGTTTTTTTTGTATCCATATATTTAAAATTGCCTCTAAGACATACAACAAATTTTATCGTATAATCCTTTTCATGGATTTGAGTAGAGGCGGTTTGAAACTTTTGACCAAAATTATAATCGATGTTAAGTGTTAGTATTGATACTATGGTTCTATTCATTTAATCTTGTATAAGTTTAAATATCAAAAATGCATACAAAGTAAAAGTAAAGTTACAGTCTATGTTGTCTATATGTCACACTGCTGCACACAAGTTTCCTCTCATTTCTGAATGGGTTACAGCGATAACTCTGCCACGCTACTCCATTCGCACACTCGTTAGTGGACTTTATATCATGTCCTGGAAATATTTAATTCCTCAGACATGGAAGTTTTATAACGATGTTATTCTTAACGAACAAGAAAAAAATTAGAACTTCCAAAAAACATTTTTAAATACAAGTTGCTCGCTTAGAGGTTAAATCTATATTTAAACGATACTTTAGGTCGCGTTTCCATATTATCTCATGTCAGGAACATAATATATTATCCCATAACTAAAGAATTGAAGTGAGTTGTAATAGCTTATTTAATAAAATATGGATAATGGTTGGGGGATGCTGTAGTCAACATTCATCTACATATATCCTCGAATAAGAATTGCGGATATGTTATCACCCCTGAGGACTAAGATGGAATGCCTCATTGCCAGTCATAAAAAGTCACCAACATGAAACACATCAGCATTAAGCTGCTATTTTACGCTGGTATTCCGTGAAAGCGTGGTTCTACCCCGGTCGAGCCGACTCATTCATGCTACAATCATAATACTGCTGCAACATGGCTTTACCACGTACACTTAAGTAATAAATATAATTTTTCAATCATTAATATTTTAAATACATAGTAATAATACTGCAAACACCTACTTTACTTTTATTGCGAACATGAACATCGAAATAATATGGATCGTGAAATTACGCGCCGCCACTGGCGGATCGGATAGAAGTAGCCATACGTAGGCGTTTCCATCTGTCAAAGTATAAGTCCACGCGATCCTATGCGTATAATAAAACTAGTTGCAGTCGCACTGCTCACTAGAATAAATCTAGTTGCCCAGCTAAATCGATGTTCTGCAAAAAATGCGATATTTTTCAATTTTTTTTGCTGCAAAGAGAGGTCTGCTACGTCAAATTTACAAAAAGATGGAATTGCCTTTCATATATAAGAAACTTTTAACCACATTATTGTTATTTACTTCTTTTTAAAATTAAAAATTACAATAAGGATTAAGTTGTTTTAGATTTGTTTACCAACACAGGACTCTCGCCCTCATACAATATGCAGATCGGTCGAGGGACTGATACGAGTCTGTACTCGAGCTGTCGCTGTCCCGAGCGTTACTATTGTAATGTATGTATATACGTATGTGTGTGTGAAATTTTTAGTTATTGTTTTAATTGTTGTGTGTCGTGGTGACAGAAGATTGTTTTTGTGTGCGCAGACCCCCCCCCTCCCAATGGCAGACAAATCTGTATTGCTGAATATCGCTAATGCTACTTCCGGTACTTCCGGTTTCCTGCTGGTGCATTCTATAAAGACAGAGAAGCTCATCAATAATTAACTAATTTGAATTCCTAAGAAAGACTTGCAATTAATTGCACTCCCAACTACTTGCAATAAACGTTTGGCATGCTACTGTCTGACAGACTTTTAGACATTTCCTGCAGAAGTTTTCCTGCAGGTGGAAACACAGCCTTTCAGTGTCAGAAACTTACATCAATTTTTAATATTAGTCTCACCTGCACAATTAATCTAATTAAAACGTGTTGTTGTTCAAGAAGTTGCGACATTTCTCGCAATCGACGTTTTTGTTTATCGAGCTCCGCCGAGATGTAGTCTTCGCTACTTTCCAATACCAGATCCAATCCCGTTGCTTGAAATTGATTAAAGACATTTAAAACGACCAGTAAACACTGTCCATCGCACATTCTAATTCATATTATAAATATAAATGATCTGGACCTCTTTTATATACTGACTACTTGACGACAGTATGGACATAACAGTACATTATTGTTAATTAGTTTACTAGGGTACAATGATCTAAAATCCCTTTTTCTCCTAGTTCACCGAAACGACTGAATAAGAGAAAAGACAATATCTGTGATAGAAGAGGGTATAATCCTTTCGTACCTGTAGGTTGTGTATCCAGTCCGTCGGCGTAAATAAAGTCAAAATATCAATTCTGGGTAGAATGACCGTGCCTTATAGAGTCCTTGAGGGAGGCCTATATTCAGCAGTGGACTTGTTGGTTGATTACAGTACAAATAATCTATAATATTATAATAATAATAATCTCTCGCGTCATCTGAGGCGGCTGGGACTCTGTGACGGACCGATCCAGGCTCAAAACAGAAGTCAGTGCTCCTTGATACCGCCCGCATCGCCCGCCGGTATCTTTCCCTTTCCCCCTAACTATCGGTCGTTTGGTCTCCCCCTGCCGAGGGCCTCCATCTGGTTTGGTTTTTATTTAGTTATGTATTATTTATTTATTTATGTTAGTATATAAAATATATATTTATGTATATTTATAATTTCCTTTTATATATTTATTCAGCCCAACCAGATGAGAATACACTATTAATACACACTCATAATAATAATATATATTTTCCACAAACAATTTAAGCAAACATAGTAATGTTATCTATGAATATTTGGACACAGCATGTTATTTTTATTTATAATCAACTCACTAAACCTACCATCGTCAGTGAATGGGTTGCAGAACCATTTTCTTAGAATTATATCCAAAAAACCCAGTTTACATTTATTTGTGTTCGGATATTCAATTAATTCATCTTTATCAACTTTTTCTAGAATAAACGCCGGTAGTTTCCGTTCCAATTCAGTGTGCAGCACTACCTGTATTTAAAATGAGTAATGTTAGGAATAAAAGTTAAACGTCTTATTACTAAAAGATAGAAGAAACTCCGGTTTAATAAGAGTATTTCTAACTAAAGAAGTCTCTTATCTACGGCGCCACATCCTTCACGAAGTTTGAAAGTTGATGTCAAACTTCGTGCTTTAGATTTTGATTCAAATATTTACGCGCAACCTCTTTCATGAAACAGACTTTAGTATAAATTTGAGTTTAATTAAAAACTATTTTTCGTAATAAGACCGTTAAAAGTTAGTTTTTTTAAATTACGTGTTTATCTGAGGACTAATGAAGACAGATGCATAGCCCTACTGTATATATAATAAAATGTTATGTGCTATTAGTGCCAAAAGACATTATGATTGCTATCTTTATTATAAATTAATAATACGAAACTATGTTTGTTCGTTTATCTGGAGAGTGACTACATATTTCTCCGAAAACTGCATGGCTCCTGTGAGATTTATCTCTTCATTGATAGAATCAGGCGTCCAAAAAAAAAACCAACTTCCGCTAAACAGAAAGTTGCAAAGAAATTTATATTTTTATTTTTTATTACCTCTTCATGTAAAAATGACTGAACAAATTATGATTAAATTTTGTATGTAGGTGCCTCAGTATAAAATACAATTTTACAAAATCGAAGAGAGTCGTTTGGAAACGGACGCAGATGGAAAAAACTTCAATTTTAACTTTAGTTCATAAAGACGGATAGTTATGTGAGAGGACAGAAGCAAAGCAATATCAAGAAATGAATGTAGGTACTGATAAAATTATTTAAAACGAGGATTACCTCGTTTGAGAGTACAAGATTATTAATCGCATAAACTTTAATGACAGGGTGAGAAATTGTGTGATAAGAGAAAAGTGTGGTTTGGTTGTAATCCGGATTAAAAAATGAAATCTTCGGTGGTTTGGTCATGTAGAAATAATGAATGAGGAAAGAGTGACAAAGCAAATCTATGTCACAGAAGTGAACGGCAGAGTCACTTAAAGTCTAAAGCCTAAAAAGCTCGCCTAAAGCGTGTCTTCCCTAATCTAGGCGAAATTTTATTAGACCTAATTGGCGATATTTTGAAAATGAGCCACAATAAGAGTACCCTTAACTGACGAGCATGTATGCGTAAGTATATGGATGTAAAGGAGGGGAAAAAGTGTGTCATGATCTTGCTAAATGGAAGTCCGTAGTCTCTACGTTCCCCTCTGGGTAACAGGGGTGAGTGTTTATGTAATTTTAACGCCGAACTTGTGGTAAACAAAACATAAAATTACAATAAAATAATTTGTACTAGCGGGGATCGAGCTGAGTTGATATCAAATTTAAGGCGAGCGTTTAGCTTCACAGCTTTAACTATTGAGGTACCTACAGTTCTTTTCATCAAGGTATAAATACAATACAATTTAATTATTACCCTACTACGGCGAAACTAAAAGCAGACTTATGATTTTATTTGTATGTAATTATGTTCAAATTCCTCCTTAAAAAGGACGAAGTGTTTGGAAGATCTCAAAAATATTGTAGTGTATATAGTATTTTTGAAGCATCTTGCTCTTCCGTAGGATATAGACTAAAGAACGTCAAGTAAAATCCAAAATTGCGGCTCATTGCGGACCTTAAGTGCTAACATTAATACGATTGTATTAATCGTATCTAGGATATGGGTACGAATCGAAGATATGATTTGTGTATAAGTATATATGAAATAATGTTTTTATAATTAAAAATTTAATTGGATTAAATGAGCAAAAGGTTCCAAAAATGACGTGAAATGTGCATGTGCAAATAAAATAAGCAAATAAATAGATAATATTTATATTTTATTTATAAATTTATAGTAATATAATAAAATTATGTACAAGGAAAATGAATAAATATATACATATTCACTAAGTGTGTATTTCACTGGACCTCTCTTTAATTTCCCAAAATAAAAGAATATAATATATAATTATAATCCACCAAAGATTCTTACCACAAAATAATTCAAATGAAAGAAAGTAAAAAATAATATAAGCGCGTTTTATTATTATTAAAAATATTAAAAAATAATTAAACTGACAAATAGTTGAGTATTAGTTTTAAATTTTTTTCTAATATTCTTCGAGAGCTACTTTTGTAGACGTATTTGTTTCAGCGGCTTATATTTATTTCAGATACAAGTGTTCTTACGAACAAAACTAGAAAACTTTTTAAATTTAAATTACAATAAATACATTGTTCAAGCTAAAATAATGTCTACCTGCATTGCCAAACGCTTAAGCTGGGCGTTCCTTCGTACACTTTCGATATCACCCACAGCCAAACCGATGAGTAAATTCATTAAGAGAATCGGCATTAGAACCATGAAAACGGCCAGTATGAAAAACGTTGACATTGAGAATGGTAGACTGACATCGGTCTCAGATTTGTAATATGGCTGTACGTATGTTCCAACGAAGTCAATTTCTCCAAGCATCATCGCGAAGATCCTCATTAGAGACATGGGAATGCTACTAAATGACAAGTGGTTACCCTGTAAAGGAAATTTTTTGTAATCTATTTCAGTTAAAACACATAATCGCAATCACAATCGCCGTGCTAAAAAAATAGAGTAGCATTTCAAATAATCTCGCAAGCATGTATATTATATATTCTATCAATTAGAAAACATTAAACTTCCAAAATAAAACAACTAATAAAAGTAATATCAAAATCAAATATCTTATTCGTAAAACGTATACAGAAAAGAAGATAATGTTTTCGGCTATCGAACAACCTAAATAAATTTCATGACGTCATGATCGCAAAGCAATAAAAAGAATCCTATAAAATAATTTTAAGATATTTTCCTCCATATTCATACTATATTGATTATACCACCCACTTTAGAAAGTAATATATAAAACGCCAGGCCAAAAGCGATGATTAGAATGGAGAACACCATTAACACTTTGATAAGTGTCTGTAGAATCTCCAAGAACATCACTACGTAGATGCCAACTTGATCGAAGCGTTGAAGAAGCAGGAGTAACTCGAACCAGGCTAATAATGCCGTTATAGATGCAGCGGAGAACTGAAAATCATAAATTCACATGGTATCAGAAAACTTTACCTTATTACGGTGCTAAAAGTATATTCTAGTTAAGAAAATTTATGTTTTCCTTCCCTACTTTCTTCATTAGCCTGTAAAAGTCTACTACAAGACGTCTCCCGTTGAAGAGAGGATTTTGATGCAAATAGAATTTTAAATAATCGTCAAATTCGGTAGGCGGCTTGGCGTCGCGCACCTTCTTCTCAACCCAAGTATGTGTATGTTGTATGGTGTAATTGTTATACCGTCATTTATTGAAATGTGGAATCGAATCGAAATCGAAGGGTGGATTTTCGTTCAACGCCATCAAACTGTGAGAATTTATGCCTAGTAGGAATCATTTCAATGAACGTCTTTGTCGTCTAGAAGAACAAATTTTTCAGACTAACTATGGAAAATCTATTCCTATTAGATCAAACTGAAATGTGAAGTAATCGGCACTGCGCATATCGGTTGCGATCATTCAGGTTGCTTCATCGGACGAAGGATTCGAAACGTAAACGAATACGTTTGCATGTGCTTGACTCTTCCAAAGTCCAAAGTAATATATTCTTCATCGTTTTATAATTTCTGATTACTACATTGAAATATCGGTCAGGATAATAAACAAGACGTTTTCTAGAGGCGATTATTCGTTTTTTCGCCTAGCTGGTGGTTTTCGGGATAATTTACGTCTGGGGTATATGAGACGAGTATCCATTTTATCTTTATAGCGTTTATCATAGTCTCAATGGGGCAATAGGATCTCTAAGACCGCCACAATATTTGCCTATCTACATATAAATAAATAAAACATACCTGAACGTCGCAATTTTCGCCGAAAATCGACGGAAACAACATTACAGTAGAGCTAATGTATAACACCCAAGATCCTAGGTTAGATGGATCTACTAAATAATGCCATTTTTGTTGTTTAATGTTGTAAGCCTCGCGTATAAGACAAATACTATTATAAATTAGTATAGCCGTGGTACTGGTACACATTGCCACAACTTTCTCAAAATCTGAAAATTCAAAATATATTCGTCCAATGAAAATAGAAGGTAAGTATGCAATTGTATTGTAGTAATGAAGTATCTCGAAATATTTTTAACTTTTTGGGACACGCAGTTATAATGCGACTAACGTTAGTGATAGTATTTCTATGATGCCGGTGCCGAGAAGTAACTTATTTCCATTCGCATACTATAGTTAGATTAAATCCTTGCTCCATAGCTACCGGAGTTATATGTTTTTTGCCAAGATTTTAAACACAATAGATAGATAAATAACTTCTGTATATACGGAATTTACTATTAAAAGTTAAGAGAAACTTACCACCCGGGATATTAATTGTTTCAGTACCGTTCTTTACACTGTCACTTGCATTGTTATTAAATAGTTTGTTCGATGATGGACATATACTTGTATGATTTACGTGGAAGCTGGACTTAGAGACACCATTCATGAGAAGATAAGTGTAAACGGTAACGAACGTCAGGAAAATACAATAAACGAGAAGATTCGCCAAGTGAAAATATTTTCCATAAGAATTCCACTTCATTTGTAAATATTTTTGACTAAGTGGGTGAGCTAACAGTTCTACTCTACCATGCGCTACCATTGCCTGAAAATATTTAAATTACAATTGAAAAGTAGTTAAACCAAATAAGTTTTCATTTAAGTTAATCATTAAAGAATATCAAATTGAATTACATTATTTACATTATGATTAAAAGTAAGTAAATACCACCACTTGCATAAAAAATTTGGATTGAGTTTTATAAGTCACATGAAAAGACATAAACCACACGTTATTTACACATTTCCCAGTAACCAATTATTGTAGTGTGAAATTTCTCGTGAAGTGTAAGCTATGCCGTGTCACGGTGTGATGCCAGGTGTGCATGCCATGAAACTAATTGATTTCATTAACTATATTACATACAAGTACATTAAATCAGACAGTGTTGGTAGTGAGAACAAAGCTAAAACATTTTAATGAATGAACTGTAAAAGCAAATTGTTTTGTAGAATATTATGCCATGATTAGACAATACACTAGGGAGTAATAATTTACGAAATTATAGTTCATTGCCAACGGACTGTAGTTAAAATGATGTTCTTTCCTTGCTATTACAAGCTAAATGGGTTAATTGAATTAACTAGCCTCATGGCACTTATAGACACGAACAAAGGCACATAAGCGAAGCGTCAGTGTACTTAAGTGACACTCCACTCACGTTGATAACATTCAACGGTTCGGGCCGAAACTTTGGGTCGTTGAACGCCTGTTTCAGCTCTTCTATCTCAAGCTTCGTATGTTGGTAGAATTCAAAAGAGTACTTAATCTGTGATGAGCGAAAAATGAGTTAAATTTTGATATTGTATTGAAAATCAAAACTTACGTTAAGAGCTGGCAATGGTATATTCTGCGATTGTAGGACATTCTCTGTTTTCCTGTTACCGTCTTCGTCCTTTACTTGAGGACATAGTGCATCGAAGCTGTACTTGATCTAGATTTCGTAAAAGGATTAAATATATGACAAAATAATAATACTATATGTGCAAATTATGTACACTATACATAACTAGACTCCTTGTTTCATACTGGCCGTATGGGGAAGTTTAAATCGACTCAGTTAGCTATGCATAGGGTTATGTATGCGTTTCTGTGCGTGATAGACTTTAGAAATGCGGAAACTCGCAGTAGAACCAGAGTGTCCGGGATAGCCCAACGGATTATTAAGCTGAATGTAATAGTACGGCTATATAGTTATAAAAATCTGCCAAACGATGAGGAATAAAGATTCTCGAGTGACAACATCGCAACGGTAAGCGAAGTGTCGACACCCACTAGATGGAGTGACGACCTGGTAAGATATGCGGAAAGTCGATGAGTGCAGATGGCTCAAGACCGTACTTTGTGGCATACCTTGTGGGAAGCCTATTTCAGCAGAGGACTAGGATAACTCTTTATTGCTCATTAATTAAAATATGAACGAAAGAAGAAAATATCTATAAATGTAGACAGTTGGCAAACAGCAATTAACACTTATATCATTGTGATGTTCAAGTTGTTTTTTGATAGTGGATGCATCTTTTAGTGGCTATCAAACTTACTACTTAGAGTTATAAGAGAGAATCACTATAAATGCAGATGAAAATAGTTTAAATAATAATAATTTGTTAATCGTGCAATTATTTAAACAAGTCTAAATACTGACTATATGTTAAGACTCATTTTCAGGCTATGAGTTAACAGTTCTATTTAAGAATTCTTACACTTGTGTTGTCTGAAAGGTTCAGAGAGCTAATTTAATTACAGGCTGTGAAGCATTATGTTTGAATCCTCAGAAGGTGACAACGAAAGAAGAAGGATACAGAGCCTTCTTTGTTTGAAGTTGGTTGCAAGTGCCATGGACCGCAAGCCACTTATCATCATTGGATTGCAAGTTAGTTTGACGCTTATTTTATAAAAAAAAACATGCAAATTAATTTTACTTGCACAAAACCATTGAAAATCACTCACGTAAAAACTTTTAGAATCTTTCTTGCAGTTTGCTTTTGTAATGCATTTGTCTTGAACTGCTTCAAATACACGTGGCATGTAGGCGATTAGTGCAAGTGTAACGCATGGATGACGATCCGAACGGAGTGCCATTACTTCTTTTGCTCTGTGAAATTGTCGTCATCTATTTAGCTCCGAAGACTGATTATAAGGCTTGCCTAACAAGGCCCTCACAGGCAAGCACTTTGCAGTCACATGAGTATGAGTAAAATGGAGAACCAGAGCTCTATCAATCAATCAGTGGGGCGCATCACATGCAAGTGAGGGTGAAATTTGATCACATCGAACGATCACAGACCAAAAGTAAACCAGAAATGTGATATTACTACTTGATTCACTACATCAACCACATGATTTCTAAATATTATTAAAATTTGGTATATTATTCTGGTTTAAATATCAACATATTGACGTGGATCTTAGTCAATTAATTTTAACATTTTTAACATTGGATCTCGCAAGATAGAATACATCAATACATTCTCTAAATGCTCATTAGTTTGTATACGGACCGAGCAATCAAAATGCCGACCATAAACTTCACAGACTGTTAATGGTCTTCCCAGAATTACCAGGGAAAAGAGAAGGTGAGCCACTGGGTTCACAAGCCCGCCTTTCCATATTAGGATGGGCAAGTCTTCTATAAAGTTTTTAATGGAAAGACCAGTAGAAAAATAGACTTAAAACGTAGTTGATGGGATTTATTGATTGCTGTAAGTATTTTTTACCTTTGTTCATGAGTAACCATCGCCAGTGCTGCTTCTGGAAATTTGTAATATATAGCGTAGTCTATTGCACTCATGTCAAGATTGTTGTAGGTCAAACCGCATCCCATTGACAGCAGTAATGCAATTGAATTTGGCTTGTTTTCCATAGTAGCTAGGTGTAGTGGTGTATTCTGAATTCAAAATACATTTTAGTTAGTAACTAATTCGTAGTAAGTCAATTTTTATTAGAGATTAACTGTACTACTGATACTGATAACTGTGATACTTACTGATACTATGACGATAATAGAGTAATAAAAATGCACAAAAATAACTATGTTGAATTAGTTAGGTGTTCGAATTTGGATTCTACCGAAAGTGAAATTTGATGCTATTCAAATTCTACTTTGCTGTACATTATTGTGAAGTAGATGGAAATATTAACATAATCATTATCATCATTATTATTACAGTCCTTCACAAGTTCATTGCTGAAATTAGGAAACCTCCCCCAAGGAAAACTACAAAGCACGGTCCTGTGGCATTAACAACAATACTGACAACAAATCTACTTAAAAAAAGAAACTACAGATAGCTTAACAAATTATTAAAAAATTCTAAATGTTTTGATTAACACTTACTCCATCCTTATCGACCTGATCCAGCAAATGTGAGTGAACGGAATGTAGCAGCTCAATAGTTTGAGTATATCCACTCATTGCAGCTAGATGCAAGGGATTGCGTCCGTTATGATCTCTATGAAGTAATGCACCTCGATTCAAGAGGAGCTGTACCACCCTAGTATGACCTTCTCGAGAAGCAATATGCAACGGTGTTAACCCTTCGCCATCACTTTCGTTAATTATGAACGTTCCTCTATCTGAATCTAGGAGCTGACAAGCTGTGTGATAGCGACCGTATCTGCAATGCACAGAGTAGTGAAAAATTAGCAAAAAAAATGTCTTTACACTCAGATTTTTGAAATGGATTAAAAGTAAGAGATGTATATTAAGACAAAATATTTAATGACGTCATGGTACAAGAATAAAACATTGAAATAGTTAAAATAGTACGAGATAAAAAGTAAGTTAATAACATAATGTTATGTTAAAAGAAATCGTTAATATTGAGATGTTGTTGCCATATCACCAAAAATGACAAAAAAGTTTTTATACCTAGCAGCAAAATGTAATGGGCTCTCATTGTTATTATTCTTGAGATTGATGCAAGCTCCAAGTCGAATGAGGTTTTCGAGGGATCTGATGTGTCCTTCACGGCTCGCATAATGCAGCGGCGAGCAGCCTGTGTTATCTTTTTCATTCAATAATAGTATTAAACTCTTCTCGCAACGATTCTGAAGCATACAGTTAGCTGTATTAAATAAATGCTAAAATAAAAAAATTAAAAAAATTACGAGATTATTTTGAACTCCACAATAAATTTGGTATAGAACTAACATACGCATATATACACTTAACAGGCCCCCCTTAATACAAACTATAGTTTTTATGAGCTAAGTACATCTGTTACGAGTACAGTAGCGATTGCAATCGAAGTGCACAGAACCCGTTTATGGTCTATTTATGCAAGGAAAATGTCCAACGATGCTAGAACATTAATTTTCTTTCTTTATACAAATTTTATCCTTGCTAAAACTTAGGGAATATTAAGGACATTTTTGATTTTAGCTATCTTAAGAATTATCTAAACAAGATAAAACATGTAGGTTATGTTGAAAAAATAATTAGAACTATTAACTATTGATTACAATAATGATGTATTAATTGTATGTTATTGAATATTTTTATGACTATAGAATACCAACGTGAAATAGTAGCTGAATACTGCTGTATTTTTATGGTGAATGTAGAGAACCGAAGAATCTTTATCTGATAATGAGGCAATCCACCTTAGTCCTCAGGGGTCACAACGCATCAGCATTCGCACTACTGTTACCAGTCTAGGAATTTTTATGGTGAATGTAGAGAACCGAAGAATCTTTATCTGAAAATGAGGCAATCCACCTTAGTCCTCAGGGGGCACAATGCATCAGTATTCGCACTACTGTTACCAGTCTAGGAATTTTTATGGTGAATGTAGAGAACCGAAGAATCTTTATCTGAAAATGAGGCAATCCACCTTAGTCCTCAGGGGGCACAATGCATCAGCATTCGCACTACTGTTACCAGTCTAGGAATTTTTATGGTGAATGTAGAGAACCGAAGAATCTTTATCTGAAAATGAGGCAATCCACCTTAGTCCTCAGGGGGCACAATGCATCAGCATTCGCACTACTGTTACCAGTCTAGGAATTTTTATGGTGAATGTAGAGAACCGAAGAATCTTTATCTGATAATGAGGCAATCCACCTTAGTCCTCAGGGGGCACAACGCATCAGCATTCGCACTACTGTTGCCAGTCTAGGAATTTTACACCTAGTATAAATACGAAATTTCATACCACCTTTTATTGATACATAATTTAGTAGTGTTATAACAAAACTGATTAAATAGGTACTGAATATATTATTTGATCCTTTGAACCGGAAACTAACGGAGCCATTAAAATTACTAATAATCTCGTGCACTATTCAAAGTAAGCCTTTTTAGACATGTTAGAACTCCTAATGACTGTAGTCGATTCTTGGATTCGAATTCAAGAATTATTGAGTTGCACAAGCCGTACACTTAACTGTTAGGTGACTTTTAATATAGGTATATAAGAATTCAAATTCTATACCAATTATTACACATTATATAAATAATATATCATTAGAAACTTCACCAAGAAGAACAGAAAAACAATGATGTAACTATATTGTATCAAAAATAATATACTTTAAATATTCACGAAATACTACTTAGAATATATCGCTCCATTCTAGTATAAAAGTCTCATATCTAGTAACAAAATTATGTTGACAAATCGGACCGTAATTTTGGTAACATGATGGCTGACGATTTATTACAATGTTATTATTTTGTTAACTTGAATTAAGCGTTGAGTTGATATATTTTTTCGCGTGTTCAATTTTTTTAACTATCGTTTAGCTTTTTCAGTCAATTTGTATTTCTAATGAGAAATAATTGATATTAACCATTAATATTTACTGGATTTCTTAAAAATAAGAAATATTGTCAGAGTTTCCACATTATAACTGCCACAGTTAATATTAGTGTCGTTAGTTATTATTTAACTATATAACAATCATTTTAAAACAATAGTCTTTACATATAATCTAATTAACATTTAAAAAGACAAATGGTCTTCAAATATTTAATATATTAAATAAAAAGATACAAGAGGCAACTCTTCACCTATAAAATTTCCGTTATATAATATGATTTGTAAAGAAAATTATACTGCGTAATTTTTTTACCGTATGGAAAAAATAGGATTCAATATGTGAACGGAATAGAAGCCCATGGCACTGATATTTAACAATTTTGTTTATTTGGCATTGAAATTTTATGAAATTAATCTATCAACAAATACTACTAATTTGAAATAAACTTTCCGTACTAAAAATATAACAATAAAATTTTTAAACTAAATAAATAAATAAATTAAAACTATTGAAATCAAATAATACGTACCCAATTAGTGGTATTTATTGATAGATCACTTTCATAATATGTTAATGTAAAATAAAAATAAAAATTGTGTAATATAACTGCTATAGGTTGGAAATCCGTTCACCTGTTACACCCTATTTTTTCCAAGCGGTAAAAAAATCATCCAGTATTATAGGTACTACATTAATCGCAGCATCAGCCATAATTGATGAATGCAAATTTGCATTTTGATAATTTTAAAATTAAAGTGTTTTTTTGATGAAGAAGGCTGACAAACGAGCACACAGTCCGGCTAATGGTAAGTGGTTGTTGAGGTTGTTGAGTGGTATTTAAGCATTATGCCGGTATTCTGCGAGAGCTTGGTCCTAACCCGGTCGAGCCGACCCATTCATGCCACAACCATAATAATGCAGCTACAGTGTTTTTATTATTAGTTTATATAGGCTTTATTACGTTTAAGTTCATTGGCGCCTTCGCGATAGAAATTTTAGGGACGGGAATCGATATTTTCTTTGAGCGTTTTTCACCGCCTTATTATTGGTTTTGAAGTTTTTATTTTGTAAGAAATGGCGTGATATAAGTCCTTTGACTGAGACTATTGTGCAGTGCTATTACTACTGTATACTAGGAGCGTGTAATTTACTTGTCTAGGTTGTTTAGTAGCGAACTTTTCCACAATCGTTTATATTAAATATAATGTACTAAAATTTTTGACAGTATACTATATATTCAGTAATTGTTCTCAAAAAGCTAAAACAATGCTTCTTTTGCTGCTCAATTTGAGTTCTATATTCGTTTATTGTCTAAGTTGGAATTATTTGAAATTTAAATATAATGTGCAATATTTCATATTTAATACCTATATAATAATTTAATTTATACATCTATTCTATTTTATAATGGTGTAAACCCACAATACTAATAATAATTCTTTTTATTGTGGTATGTAAATTTTTTATGAGTGAATAAAATACTAAGCAATCAAAATAATAAATAAATTAACAAAGCTCACATTCATACTACTTACTTTGCAGTTAGCTGCGAACTCTTCAAGGCGACCGCCGTTCATTACGACCAGATGCAATATATTTCTTAAGTTTATATCCTTAAGCTCAATGTCGGCACCCAAGCGGATCTGAAAAATTTATGTAAATACGTAAATTATTTAATATTCTTTTCTCTATATAGTGGTGATGCATCTATAGATTATGAAATGTATGTTGTATAGTTTCAAGACAAAGATGATTGGTGAATGTTGAACGAATGTTGTTATTGTTGAAGGACGAATGAATTACGGCTTCGTGTTGCAGTGGGTTAGCTACGAGTTCCAGCGCTAAGGGCCTGGTTTCGAATCTCGTACGGAACAAGCATTCGTATGGCCTGCAAATAATTATTCTCGGCTTGGATGTTTGTCAATGTGAAAATTATGTATGTAAGCTGCCCCCACGATATAGATACGTTTATGTTGTAAATTTTCTTTAAATTTAATGGAAATATAAAGTCAAGGCTCAAATAATATTTTAAATAACTTTTGTGGAAACTAATATTAATAAAGTAGTAACACGTCTAATGTAATAATCTATTGACATTTTTTGTTCATTTTTAAATGCAAACTAAAATAATTTAGATGTAATTGTTTTTTTAGTTCCTTTACTGTCAATACCACTTCTTTCATTATTTATAAATATAATAAACAAAATAAATAGTATTATTCATAAACTCGGTCTTACAAGTACATATACAATGTTAAACTTTTTCTTTTAAACGCGAAATACGCCTGTATCAGAAGTATGCCCCTCTTCCACGTCATAAAATTTATCAAAGCAAGAACCGTTTATACTAAAATTAACGCTGAGCATAAACAACATTAAAATAATCATTTTAGTCCCAGAAAAGATTTTTCAATTTAATTGGATAGTAATTTTTTCAATTTTTGAATTTTTTCGAAAAACACTGCTACGAGTATATACAAATAAAATACTATATAAGGAACACATATATAAATAAAATACTATTTAAGGATTATGCTAGTCTGATAATGAAAGAATGATGATATTGGATTGTGTCAAAACATGGTAAAACAGAAAATTAAGCACATTTAAAAAAGCCAAATTACCAATGTATGCACTGTTCTCCAGCCTGCCCTTGAAGCAGCTAGCAAAAGCGGTGACCTCCTCTCCTTATCCAAAGGATTAATATCTGAACCCTCAGAAATCAAGTAGTTTACTATATCAGGATGATCGAACATAGCGGCACAGTGTAGTGGAGTCATTTTTTGAACGTCACACGACATTAAACAAGCCATTTTCTCTTTCGGTTGCATTTCAAACATTAATTTGACAATTTCTAAAGCACCCTGTAAATTAAAAGTAATTTGTATGGACATGATTGGTGTACAGAAAATATAACAACCTAAATAACCTTCCCTTTGTATGTAAACTCTGGCTAATATATAATGTCATACTGCTTATTAATATTTTTTTGATTAATGACGGTGTAAGCATATCCATTACCTCATATGGTCTCATGGCTGTCGTAAAAGGCGAGGGAAATAAACTAAATAAACTAGATATTACAAAAAGTACGTTTGCCAACACGCTCACCGCGCCGCGCATTTGAACGCTAGCAAATATCTCTCATATTAGAAAATATATGGCGCGGTCTGAATGAATGAAATAAATACTTAAAGAGGACTAGCGACTGGGAGCAATGTTGCTAGTGCGGAGGGGGTGTCTCGCACTTATCAATTACACGCGTGATGAGTATGAACTAATAAATCTTTCAATCTATATGGTATACATACGACTACATACCACATAAAAATCTTGATATATATAAATTACGTGTCACGTTGTTTGTACGCGATGGACTACTAAACTACTTAACCGATTTAATCAAATTTGCACACCGTGTGCAGTTTGGTCCAACTTGAGAGACAGGGTATTTTTTTGCCCATGAGTATTTTTTTGCGTATTTAAGGATTTTTAATAGAATATGACAAAGGGTCATCGAAAAGAGCAGAACAACGTCTGCCTGGCAAGCTAGTTGTATATATAGTTGTAGTATGAATTGGTCCGACCGGAGAACGACCACGCTCTCACTGAAAACCAGCGTAAAATAAATGCTTAATGTTGCTTTTTCGAATGGCGGGCATAGAGAACAGCATACCCTATTTACTGGAAACGAGGCACCACATCTTAGTCCACAGGGGTAATATCGCATGGGTATTTCGATTCCTAATCGAGAATAGATGTAGATATCTATGGGCCACAGCATCTACGGACTGTGTCCTCGTTTGTCACCTTGATTCTATAAGAAATGACCAGCAGTTGACAAGGAAAGGTTTTCAACGAAGATATAGATGTTATTATCAATAATTTTAAAGTAAAAAAGTAAAGAAAATCACCGCCTATTTTAATTATGATTAGTTCACACTGGACATAGAGCCTTTAGCCATAGAGCCTAGAGAAGAGGTTTTGGTTACAGTGCTAGGTATCTCTTCCAGATAATGTAGCTACCCAACCAGATAACATTAATATAAAATATTATATATTTTCATTAATTCATTCATATTTATTTATTCATATTCGCAGCAGCGTCTTCCTAATAACTACTAAAAGTAAAAAACTGCGTTTGCCAACCCGCTTGTCAAGCGTGGCAACTATGGCAAATATCTAACCCTATGAGGCAATCTAAGGGGAAGGCCTATGTTTAGCAATAGACTTTAATAGGCTGTAACGGGAACGAAATTCATTAATTCATTACAGTCGTCATGAATGAATGAATGTATACCATCAAATGTCTTCAGAACATAGGCTTCCCCTATATACAGCACCGTCCATAGTACGGATATTTAATACAGTTGAGACGCTTTATAGTTGAGGCGTCGATTGCAGAAAAAGGTCATGGTCATGACCGACAACGGATTAGTAAGCTGAAGTGGCAATGGGCCGGCCATATAGCTCGAAGAACCGACAACCGTTGGGGAAAAAAGGTTCTCGAGTGGCAGCCTCGTACCGGTAGGCTAAGTGTAGGGCGACCCAATACTAGATGGAGTGATGACATGGTAAGACATGCAGGATGTTGATGGATGCAGGTGGCTCAGGACCGTGCATACAGCAGGATTGTGGCATACCTTGTGGGAGGCTTATGTTCAGCAGTGGACTTGTGAAAGGCTGTAATGATGATGACGATGTAACATCCGGGAGAGGACAGGAATCGCGAGTGCCACTGAACCAAGTATAGCGGAGTCCAGTAAGCTGACTGTCAATCTTCGCCTGTCGGAGAGGCACCAGAAGAAGAAAAAGTGACGCTTTTTATTATTTTGAGTTCTTCTTCCCTACTGACCATCACCAATTTTCATTTACGCCGCCACTACATGGCATATAAAAGCCCAAACAGGAAAGTTTAGACTTTTCTGTTTAGCAGCGTGCGGAAACTAAAGTAATGAGATATATAGTTTCTAGTATTACCTGGGCACATGCAAGGTGAACCGGCGTAGACAAATCGTGTTGCTGAGTTGAAATTTTCGCACCTGACCTTAGACATAGTTCCACAGCTTTAATATCACCGCCATGTACTGCTGAATGTAATGGTACGTTCCCTTCGTTGTCATATAGTGAGATCATTTGATCTCTACTACAGCCTCTAGACTCTGCCCATTGTAGAAACACCTCCATAGTCCTAGATGAAGCATTTTTCGCAGCCTCGTGGATTGGATAATAACCATTATTGCATGGACGCTTGCATTCTGCACCCAAATCTGACATCTGTTTATAAAATATTAATAAATTTATGACGTTTTTGCATTTTTTAACTTTGTGTCAAAATTAAATTTACAAGTACTAATTTTACTAGCATTATAATGTAAAAGTATGATTGTTTGGATATTTGTTCTTCAATAAAGTTTGCGGAACTATTTCTTCTGTAGAACTATTCTAATCGGACAAAAGATAGTTTGTATAACAATTGTTAATGAAGTTTAATTAACGTTCAGTGAAGCAGAATAATAAAATTTAATAAAAAAATTATTAATAGAAAGAAAATTTAAGTAAACTATAGGTAGTTTTTTGGAATAATTACAAAAAATCGTAAATCTTACTATACTTTAAATAGTAAATAGGATGAAACTGAACTTTATTAGAACTGACCAAACGAAAGTACGTTAATAAGTTATACGGAACATGAATTAGCCAAAAACGTATTTTGTCGTAGCTATTTTCTGGTATGACTATAGTGTGAACACTAAGTAAAGTGCTCATATGCCTTACTCTGACTCTTGGAAACCAGACATGGTTGGATAAGAATGGGATTAGTTTATAATTAATGACAACTTGTTCTCCAACCATACATTTTTATGAAAGCTTATTTAACCGCCGAAATTTAAATATGATTAATTTATTTATTATTTGCAAAATACAATAAATCACAACAATTAGAATTGTTTCCAATTAAATTTAAAAAAATACTTTGGAATGTATTTTAGTCTAATTTTTTGTAACTTATCCTCAAAACTAATTATTTGAAGTTTGTTATACATGAAAATAAATATACCTGATATACAACTATTCCTATTCATATAAATGTCACGAGAACAGCTATCCAGACCCGGAAGCCCTGAACATTGCGCCACGGAACATTATTGATCTATACTTTTTAAAATAAAAAATAGATTATTGACTGAAAAATAATGTCGGACAACTATTCCTATTCCTATTCTTTTCAAGCGCACTAACGTTATAATATTATTTTATATTTATTTGTTTGTGGCGCTTTTAATCAAAAACAATTCTAAAAGCCTGTCGCAGTATGTACTGTCAGCATTTGTCAAGATACACTACGTTAAGTTCGATAGGTTTTCTTTCCTTGTTGTTTGTGCAATTGTATTAATTGGTTGTTGATAAACGATTTTTTTTTGTTTTTACAAGCGACACTGTAGCATATAGTTCATGATGATGCCACTACTTCATGAAGTTTTTAAATTTTTTGTAGTAGGCGCTCGAATTAAAAATAGAAGATTAAAACTATATATCATGTAACCTGTCGTTTAACTTCTCTCGATTTTATTAGCATTTTCAATGAAAATTAACAAATGCCAAGATTCAAAAGTCCTTTAAAGGGATAGTATTTGGGTATGGCATGTTGTTCCCATGATCAGCTCTACGTAGGTTACTCAGGTGTTTTATGGCCAAAATTTATATTTTATCTAAATCAAAATAATGATTGAAGTCTTTTTAAAATTCACTCATATGAGCGTATTTAATAAGACTTCATTTTAAAGTTTAGTCGGGCGTTCTGAAACTTTTAATTAGAAATAATTTTAGTAATTAAATACATCGGGATTTTAATTAAACATGAGTGGAGCTGCGGGGAAAACTAGTTTACTAATATTTAAATTCATTTGTCTATTGTTTTTACAAGCTGAAAGTTATTTGAAAAGAACATGTCGCGCGTCAAGATGAGTTTTACGCGGGAACATTTTTGCACAATGATTTATTACTAAAACTAAACATTATTATGTGTTGTGTTCTTCGTCAGTGACATGGCATCTCATTATGAAGCCCTATTTGTTTACAACAAGTTCAATAAGTTTAGGTGTGGTGTTAGGGATGTCAAGAAAGAACGTTGAGGTTTACGAACCAAGTTGCAGTGACAACGTTTGAATTGACCATAAAGAGACAAATAAATTTGAGTTCGTCCACTGTGTCTTCAATAATATACCCAAGGACAGTATAAACTTATCTTTAAATATTTAAAAAAAATATGTATAAAAGTCACTCATAAACTCATAAAAAATTACATTGTCTTATTAGATGTTTGGTCATATTTTTACTTTCAGTTTAACTCATGTATAATCTCATTTACAAGTTGAATAAATTAATAAGTTATACGGAACATGAATTCGCCAAAAACGTATTTCGTCGTACCCTTTTTCTGGTATAACTATAGTGTGAACACTAAGTAAAGTGTTCATAAGTGTTTTGCTTAAAGTCTAAATGAATAAAGATATATGATTTGTTATTTTGTTTGAATCAGTGGTTGCGTCAAAATGTTTCGAAATTGTATTATGGTAACAACTTCCTACTTTCTTTCTCTTCCTTAATAATTTTCTGAAAACTTTCAATGTCAGCAATGTTGCCTACATATTGGTATGCGGGTATTATTTAAAAAGAATACGTGATCCTATGTAGATAACATTTTTGAACTAATAATTGCCAGTATCATAAGTCCAATCTGAGAGGCCCGTGTCCAGAAGAGGACTTTAAGGGCTGATGAAGATAATGAAGAAGAAAATTTCTCGCAATTTCGTGATTATGTCAACGTATTCAAACAAAATAATGAATATCATTAATAACATACCAAGACCCTGGCGCACATATCATGGTCATGTATGGCGGCGAAGTGCAAAGCAGTGCGTCCATGTTCCCCTCCGAGGTCCACATTGATCTGACTTTTGTATTTTGCGAAAACTTGCAGAACTGCCACCTAGAGTTAAAATTGGTAAGTGCCCTTTTATGCGTCTTTTTATTTTAGTAATAAATAAGGATAAAGTGATCTTTTAAAATACATATTAGTATCATATTTTATATTTTACATCAGCAAAAATGTTTACTTGATGGTACTCTTAATCTGCTTAAGAGTATCTGGGAAGGTACCACAGCAGTTTCTGTATATCGAGCCAGTTTAATTACAGGCGGTGAAGCATTCCATTTTAACCCTCAAAGGTAACAACGTACAGGTACGTTCAGCCTTCATAGTTTGAAGATGTTTATGTACTGCAGAAACCATTCACAATCAAATAGCTAATGTTTTTTTATAGAATACGTTTTCCCAAATTTAGTGAATAACTCCCATAAAAAATTGGTAATGTAAAAGAGCAGTATTGATGCCAATTTTTTTTTAATAGGATAGGGTGACAAATGAGCACACAGTGCACCTGATGGTAAGTGGATGCTGCGAACAATAGACATCTAAATATATCCTCGATTTAAATGTGATGTACCTATGTAGATCCTTTATGAATATTCGTTTATCACTCCAGCTTTTTTTAAATAGTATTTTTATGTTCAATACATCGTAATCTTTATGGCATCAGCAAATTGTTTGATTTGTTATAATACAAACGTCGACTATTTGCAAATGCTCGCTGATTTGTGAGATGCCGAAGGCAAATAGTAATTTCGTAGTACGTTCGTAGAATTGCGAATACCGTGACCTGCCTGAGTAAATGATATTTTGCAATTTTATAATACGGCCGATAATTTATAACTATGACTTCCGTTAATTTTGTCAAAAATGCAAAAACCTTACCTACCAATAAAAAATCTTACCTATTAATAACGTATCATGAAATATAGGTCAAGTAGGTAGGTAGGTACCTACTACTATCCTATAGTAGTAGGTACCTACCTACCTACTTGACCAATAAAATTATTGGTATAAACAATAAGTGTTCGATGCTAGTAATAAATTTTACCCGTGTAGCACAGGGGATGAGCTCTCTCTCGCCTTAAAAATGTGATGTACACGACTTATCCGAATTTGATTCTTGCCAGCACAAATAAAATTGTTAGTTGCAATTTCAGGTGCTGATTTAGTACGTGCTCGGCGATGGAATAAAATATCGTAAAGAAACCTGCATATTTGACAAAAAATATTTCTGTACATGTAAGGTCCAACATGCACTGCACTGGAGCGTTTGGCAGACAAATTACGACTTAACCCTCTTAGAGATGAGAGAAGGCCTGTGGGATGTAATAAGCTCTTAACCTATTTTTTTGGAACAGTGCTTCTTATTTGACACCTCCCACGATGACGCTTATTTGTATAAATATTTTTTAGCTTGTAAATATATTTTAAATCCCCAAACTAACCTCTTAAGCAGTTAATTTAAATAATGACCCTCTCATTGGTTTAAAAAATATCTGAGAAAACGACAGTGGCAGACAGTAGTAGTAGCAGCGATGTGTTTTTACTAATTTTGGCACGGATCATTTTATTATTGGGTGCGTTTGGCAGAAAAAAGCGCTAGCAAGCGCTTATAAGCGCTGAAATGGTTTTCGGCCAGGACACGATTGCTACTTCAGTAGCGCTGACACAATCCGCCATTTTGCTTATTTAATTTGTTTGTTTTGAAGTAGAGTTTATAAGTTGTTTTGTGCAATATTAGTTTTAAGTAATATAATGACATGAATAAACATATACATGTAATTAAAAATTCATGATTGGTAAGTTTTGTATATGAATACTTTACAAACATATATTTAAATTAGGTTAGGTTCCCCGTTTAAAACTAACTTCGTGTCCTAGAGGAAAATAGCTACTTACGATTTGACAGCGCTTACCGCTTACGATCGCCATTTTGCTTACAAGCGCTTGCTAGCGCTTTTTTCTGCCAAACGCACCCATTATTTAATATTTGGCCGAATATCACGCAGTCGAAGCCGTGGTAAAGAGGCAGTTTAAGACATTATAATACACATACAATGCCATATGGTAGCGGCGTGAAAAAGTCCACTACCCCATGTCATCCCATTTGTGTAATAAGAGTCGAAATAGGGAAACTAGAATAGGAGACGAGCAGCAGCATCTTCCTGATAATAGCTCAATAAAAGCCTGATAAAAGCGTGAAAACTATTGCAAATAGTCTCCCTTGAGTCTATCTATGAGAGAGACCTATTTACGCGCGTACTTTTGGTGGACTCTAATAAAAGAATAATGATAATAAATAATGTAGATGAGCTTATTTAAATCATGTTTTGTAATAAAATAAGACTAATTATAACACAAACTATGTCTTTCTATTTCTTTTTAGATGTAGTTAAAATCTCAGAAGTATTCGCGTAAACATAAAGGAACTCGGTGTCGCCTTATAGCAAATGTTTATTAAACGTAATACGGTCATTAAGTTACTGGATACCTTGTTAAACTAGTTGTATTAATCACGTCCTTTAAAAAAGAGTAGTTAAGTAGTATTTAAGCCTAGAATAGTCAAAATAATAAATAATTCGTACGTTAACGTTACGATACTTTGACCCCAGGTGTACAACAGGGGAGCCAGGTTTTGAGGCTTTACCCAATAGACGTTTACATTTTATTAGGGTGTAGTATTTAGGCTCAGATTTTGGACGGCTATTAATTTTATAAGAATAAAAGGTAATAGGCCAAATATATGATAAAAGCTAGTAAGTTGTATGACGAGAGTGTAGATAAAAGTTTATTCTTAGATAATCCATTCATTAAAATGAATAGGTAATAATGAATACATTGGTGGCTCAGGGAAACGATGCCACGTACTTATACAGAATGTGTCGACTTAGGAAAATAGGGAGTGGCTCAATTTTCATAACTGCTATAGTTAAAGATTATCAGATTCCATCCAATTTCGAATTCAAATGATTAGAAGAAGCTCCCTTCTTTCCTTAGCTTTACATTTCTTAATTTTTTCATATGCATATATTAAAGTTAGCAATAATTAAGTATGATATATAAAACATACCACAAGTCCCTTACGATATGAGTTTTAGTAAATAAATTCAGTATAGTAAAATGCATTGATTGTTTGTCTTACTTTAACTAGTTTAAAAGTTGCAATAAACTTTTAGTTGCACATAGTAAAATTATTGTGCAATATGGCATTATGAATTTGAAATTGATCTGAACTGGGAATATGGACGACAAATTGATGAGCTGTCGCTCTTAGGCCGATCCATCAGCTTATTTTATTACTCAGGGGCCATTTTTGAACGTACGTATCTTATTGACGAAACTCAATAAACCAAATCTAGTCGAAAACAAAAGTAATGTTATGTGCGCAATCTTCCCAAAGTTTTATTTTTATACGTACTGTACAATAATGAAATTCATTATGCTTGGCTGGCTGTTTGATAACTGGCATATACTATTAAAAAAAAACATATTACTTTTTTGCCAACTCTTCTTATAATACAATAGAGTAAGATTTATGATATAAGATATAATTATATCATAATATACACAACATATATTAAAAATACATATACCTACGTTTAAATGTGTAGGACATAGGGTAGCATTTTCTTTCTAAATTTAGTTTAACTCACGAGTCATTTTGATTTACACTAACGGTTTATAAGTTTTACAAAAATATTAAAATCAAGTACCGGATATTTATAGACAACCCGCGGCCGGCCACATCGCAAACACAACATTGCGTCGACGTCTCGACTAGGGTTGTAACGCAACCACAACGTAACTGCAAAAAGCTGCAGCGACAACATTCACACTTGACTATATTTTGTCACTGCGATGTGGTATCGTTGTAGTACGCGTGGGCCGACCCTAAGTCATCTTGTGTCTAGACATACGGCAATGTGACATCCAACTTTGTAAAAGAAAATGGCGACGAACCGGAGGTGTGTACAAGAGCCTAACAACCCTTTACTCAAATACTTTTAGACGTTCACAGTTGTTATTGTGCATTGCTAATAAGGACCTCTTGAGTACCTACAATTTTTAAAAACCCTATTATAATTCTAGAATTATTAAAGTATTAAAGGTGACATGCTTATCACTCATTGAATGATCACTGAATCACTCATCAAAACCTAAGGATTAAATCTGAAAACTACCAATTCTTTAATAACGGTGTGTAGTTTTATATACAGTAATTTTAGTTTCAAGTATAGTACTTAAAGCTAACCGGACCAATTATATAATTATTGCAGTTTAAATTAAAATAGAAAACAGTGAACGTGAAAGCATAAAAATCGTTGAAGATCATGTATTTCTTTTAAAAGGACATTTTCATAAATAAATGATTTCCCATCAAAAACATAAATGTGAAAAAGGAGGGCCAAGTTGAGTGCTAACCACGTTTGGGGGTTGTCGGCCTCGCCGTTGAAAGAGTTCAGATCTATACGGACGCCAAGCTTCATTGCAGATACAAAAGTACGTTGGATCAATACGAAAGTACGTTGTACTTTTGTATTGATCCAATGATTTAAGCAATTACTTTACCGACAAAAAAATCAGATTTTACCGGGCACCAAACTTTATGGCAGTTCCAAAAGAACGTTACATATTCCTATAGATCCAATGTTAAGCAACTGCTGTCTGTCGCCCGTTCAGATCTGAACTCTTTTACTGGAAGGTTTTAGGACTCGGGAAGAGGTCACCACGTTGTCTCAATGCGTGTTAGTGGAGTTTACATTTCCTCGAAATACTTTTTAACTACGTAGATATACAGGTTTCGTCGCGATGATATCCCGAACAAATTCTATGTCTGCACCTTAAATTGATTTTAAAAAATTCTTTTACTCTGGGGGGAATCAAACTTGTTTTGCTCGCGTACTATGACATTTTAAGATGAACACTTATTCCTTGAGCTTTCATTAAATAAAGCAAATTAAAGTTACAACTTATATACGTTTTGTATAAATATAAATAAAATTGTAGTTTTTGTGTATCAAAATAACAGACTACTATTGAACACAGGAGGTTATTTATATGCTATATAGACAATAATAACTATTTATAGAATTTCTGCCTGTCCAGCTGTTTGTTTGTCCAGGCTAATTCTTCGGCTAGTGGCTAAACTAAATGTGATCAATTTAACAAGCAAATAGAGGTCAGGAGTGATCAATTTAACAAGAAAATAGAGGTGAGGAGACAGAACGAAGTCAGGAGTGAGCCTTTCTGTTTTTAATTTTGAAAACATGAAGGATTTTTCTCGTGATATCGCAAAGCTGATAATAGAAATGGTTTTAATAGTACCATGTGAGTTGACAATGGATATAAAATAAGTTTTAGTCTTTTTTGGATTGCAATTTCACGCAAAAGGTCCATTTTAAATCCCGCACCCCGGGCAGGAGAAATATGAAGTATCACCCTGAGAGGACCTGAGTCTCGGTAAAAAGAGCAAGGTTGGCTGTGCCGTCTCCAGATGGTAGTTGAAAAGGTTAAGGTTGGAATGAAGTTCCTTGATGTTGCAAAAATTCACAGATAGCATGACATGAGTCGCCTGGATCTTGGTATTCTGTGAGTTCGTAGTACCACCCCGGTTTGAGCCCGCCCACACGTGCAACAGCAAAAGCTGTCGCGTGGTTTTATTACTGTTAGACTTACCTACATAAAATTTCATGGGAATCCGTTCTGTTATTTGACATGAATAGTGAATACATACATAAACAGATGGACATACAAAAATACTAAAAACTAATTAATTTAGCTTCAGTTTCCTTTAAAAAAATTAAAATACAGCTTTGGATAAAATATCGCGTACGTACTCGCTACATTGCTTTTTATTTGCTCGTGAAATATATCGCAATGGGCGCAGCGATTTTGAAGATAAGCTTGGACGGACAGAAAGACAAACATTTTTTTAAATTTCTAATAGCATTCAAGTAACCCTCAGAGCTTAATAAAAGGAGGATACTTCGATATTACAGACAGACACTTTAATTTTATGGATATTTATGTTTAGGTGTACGGATTTCTTTTAGATGTCCTATTCTCTGAGAAGACTATTCTCTGAAGCGCTTGATAGAGTTCTAGGCATAATTTGCAATTTTTAGCATTAATATTAAAATAGCGAAACGTCACAAGCTTACCTTATTCAATTCGGTCGCCAAGTGTATCGGTGCCTGTGATTTTTCATTCAAAACACCTGTATCGACATGTCTGAAAAAGAACATCAAGTAAGGTTACGTTATTAAACAAATATCAGAAAATTAGAAACTGTAACTGAGTGTTCAAAATTGATTGAGAGTGTTCCATAGAATACTATAATACATATATAATTGTGTAATATAGTATTCTATGGAGTGTACTATCGTACGACATTTGATAAGTTTAATACTTTTTTAAATTGATTATCTTATTAGCTTATGATCCAACATTCTTGAGTGACAAGACATTATAGAGAGAAAGTATTCATTTGAATTTAAAAAAGGAGAATGAGAATTTAAAAAAGAAAATTTTATTATTGATTTAATGGCATGACTTACGGCTACCATACCAGAGCCAAAATAAATACTTAAAATTTAAACACAACTTCAGGCATACAATTTATTATTTCCGTAAAAAATTAAATAACATGATAAGTGTTATGGAATTTATACCGGAAAACTCTGAAGGAAGGGTTTTTGATATTGATTTGTAAAAGTTGTTCTCGGTTTTAACTTTAATATTGTAATAATATTTATTAAATGCAATCAATATAACATATTAATTTATTCAATTCATCATTACTATTTTGTTTGCCTTGAGGCGTTTGGATTTTAAGATTCAAAAATAATATAAAATATAGTATGTGGAATATGTAATCACACTTATTGAACTGATTGAAATTTTAAAATATTTTTTTAGTCAGCGCAAATTTTTATAATTAATAAGGAATCTATTAGAAAACAACAATTTAAATAATGAGAATGTAATACCTTAATAAGATAAAAATAAACCACTGAGATAATTTTTTGTTGGGTAGTGAAGTGAAGGGACGTGTATGATATGCTATATGTCTTTATAAGTTCCTTTTCTCTGTATCGAGCTGAATGAAAATTGAATGTAAATTTAAAGATACAAAGTGATGAACAGTTAATAAAATTGTTTGAAAATAACTAGAACCATGGTCACATCAAAAAGAAAAAGATGTAAAAATGCACAAATTTAAAAAAAAAAGTATATAATCTCATACACAATTATAACTCTAATAGTTTGATAAAACGCCTTTACATCCCAATTTTAATAATCATTGGTACGTGACTTAGTGATCACATAACTTATGAACGACTTGATTGACTGAGAACATTTTAACTAAATATATTTTTTGAATCGAGGCGATGGTTCAGAGCTTCAGAGCTATGTTAGAATGCAACAGGTGATGCTGTAGTAAAGTCTTTAACAAATTCTCTATTTATGTACCAAAATATTCATATTCACAATACAATATATCGGTGTAGTGCCAAAAATGAAAATCACATAAACTGAACCCGGTCTATTTGTTACTATCTCCGTATGGTTTAATTATAATTATATTTTATATATTTACACTATAAACTCTGGAGTGAATTTGGAGTGAAACTCATCGCACCCCCTACGGGAAGACCTACACCTAGAACGGAAAGGGCAACGTTTGCCGGGACATCTAGTGGGTATATTCTAGTAGTTAAATTACGAAACAAATGACACGTTATAATGACAGTTACTACTCACGTCCCGACTTGGACCAATTTGAGCCAAATAGTAATGGTAGGTTTAGCCAATGACAATATTTTTTTAAATGAAGGTAAACATAACTTTGACAATTAGTAAGCTGAAGTGGCAATTGGCCGACCATGTAGCTCGAAGAACCGACAACCGTTGGGGAAAAAAGGTTCTCGAGTGGCAGCCTCGTATCGGTAGGCGAAGTGTAGGGCGACCCCCCACTAGATGGAGTGACGACCTCGTAAGACATGCAGGAAGTCGATGGATGAAGGTGGCTCAGGACCGTGCTCTGTGGCATACCTTGGGGGAGGCCTATGTTCAGCAGTGGACTTCTGAAGGGCTGTAATGATGATGATGATGATGAAATATAACTTAGAGTCATTACCATGTTCTTATCCAAAAATAAAATTATCAACAATTAAAATATCGAATTATTTGTATGAAAGCCACGTGAGCGCTATAGAAACGACGATTGTAAGACGTTATTGATAAATAAAATGTTTTGAGAAGTTATCCATTACTGTGTCGTGGCGGTGAATGAATATCCATATCAAACCTGTGGATGTCGTAAGAGGCGACTATAGTTGGTGGAAAGTGTTATTTTTAAACAACCGTGACCGTCGTTCCACTTACAAAATAAGTAAAAACAAAGAACTTTGTCACGTTGGATAACTAGGTACTTGTAACATTAGAACGACTTATAACGTGACTTTAAATATGCATTTTAGATTTACCTCACCTAAGGTACGAACGTAAATATGCTATAAATCCATTGTAATAATTATTTTTGAAATAAAAGAATTTCATCTGACCTAGCTGATCAGTCGGTGTACCATTCAAGTAGACCGTACCGCAACTTATTACACAGTAACAAGCTACGTGTAAGTTACATGAATAACTAATATTATTTTTAAAAACTTGTACCGATGTTCAACGCCCAAAGCGGCAAAATCCGACAGTAGGAACGGGACACATGCAAAGATACGATACAATAATAATTATAAATCAAAATACTATAATAATAAAATATAAATATAGCTTACGCACTACCAGGGAGCCAATCCCCCCTTTTCGTTGATTCGGACAGCATAAGCTGAGTGAGGTCCGTTTGCGTAACGCGCCACAAGCCACAACACATTTATCGAAGTTATTTTAAGAGTAATTTACATTTATATTTATTTTATTTTATTATTTTTGGATGACTTTACTTTTGTTAAATGAATCTGTCAAGCTATTGTTTTTCTAATTTTGTTATGTCTTTAATTGATGTGTGTATAAATATTTAAATTTGAGTGCCTAATTTATGTGTGGTAGCGTTGTACGCAATGTTTCTTTATTTATTTCTTTCATTTCTTTTTTCTCACTTTCTTCATTTTCCTTCTTTTTTCAGTCATTGTAAATTTTAAAACACATGCACTCAAAAACGCACCCACTTTCGCACTTTACAATACTTTATACAATATTCTATCATAATATCATAACTTATACTACTATTCTTCAACAGAAAGTATTTTCTTCGTAAATATATTCTTTATTAAAAATAGATAAAAAAAAAAACAGATCAGGGTCTTTATCGGCGACTAGCAAACATGTGTCATCTGCAAACTGGCATGAACAGTGATTTATGAAAAAGCGCATATCGTTTAATCAATAGTATATATATAGTATATAATAATAAATAGTCGAAAATGGAGGGGCCAGGCACAGATCCCTGTGCTGTGCCTTCAGTTACAGTTACCGGGTCGCTGTGTGTTTAATTTATTCTCACAGAGAATTTCCTATTTTTAATATAATTTGTACACCATCTCAGAAGAGGTCCCCGTATTCCACAATCGTTCAACTTAGTGATAATTTGTTTATGATCAAGAGTGTCGAATGCCCGTCAAAAGTCTATAAATAGGACGAGTACATTTTTTTTGTTATTAAGATACTCGTTAATTTCATCTGTTAACTTCATCAAGAGATCATTTATACACTTCTCAGCTGGAAAACCATACCGATTTTGATATATTACGTCGTGCGTATTGTAGAATTTATAAATTTGTTCTCACACATACTTTTCTACTATTTTATCTATTGAAGATAATAAAGTGATTGGTCGTAGTTCAGGAAATCATCCCGTCTTCCTTTCTTGTATATTGGTCTAACACTGTCAGTTTCAACACTTGTATTGATAAGGTTGGCAATGGCCGTGACCCCTTCTGTGTCCATACATTTTATATCAGAAACCCCAATATTATCATAGCCTGGTGCCTTTTTAGAGCTAAGTTTTTTGATTATTTTATTAACCTTGTCACGGGTTGCTTTTTGAAAGTATATACTAGAATTATTTGGCCGAGAATACTTACTGGGACTTAACAAATTCAAATTACAGGTATGGATTATGTTTTTCACAGCCTTATCAAATCCTATCGCAAAGTTATTTACAATATCTTTGGTCGTCTGCCCTTCAAATGCTTTTAAAACTGCCGTATCCACTGACGATGTTATACGTCCAAGCATTTTGTTGATTATTTGATAAACTTTTCTTGTATTTTTGAAATTCTGCTGAATGTTTTTAATACAGTATCTATTTCGTTTATTCTCTAATACTTTATGAACTTTATTTCTTATTGTATTGTATTCTAATCTTAATTTTGAATTGAGTGGATTTCGTTTCCAAGAACGGAACAGTTTGTTACGTTTTTCGCATAATCGATTGACGTTATCATCGATCCATGGTAGTTTATATTGATTAGTAATATTAAGTTTGTTAAACTTATGTTTAATAATACTCGTAGCTGCTTTTTAGTACTTTGAAAAGATCGTTTAATGAAGTTAAAAATCTCAACAGGTGATTTCGTAGAGTTTGCTTGAAGCCATTTGACGTTTTTTAATTCTTTGTAAAGGATATCATAATCAATAACTTGTTTAAAAACCTCCCGTGTGTCAACACTAACTGAATCACCCATGCAAGCGAGCATGATTGCAGGGTGATCTGCCAGTGTAATGTTTAACGCCGCGATGTACGGATTAAATGTGAGAGACGTGCAAATATGTGGTCAATGCAGGATTTTGTGATAAGATTTAGTTTTTTTTCTATCCTAGTGTAGTCAGATATTCCACACATTAATCCGTACTCGTTGAGCATTTCTAGGTATGAGTCTTTAGTGATGAGGTACTTATTACTTATTTCAGGTCAATATTTGTATCACCTATCAAGATTAGATTTCTTTTTTCGTTAAACGTGGACATGCATTTGCTCAACTCCTTTACAAAAATATACCTATTTGTTTTTGGCGGCCTATATACTCCACACAAAACTATATCTTGGTTTGAGTTAAGTTTTATACTACCTATTATGTTTTCAAATGTTTTGGTTTGTTGTTGTATTAAGTTGAATTTAAGGTGATTTTCAATGTATATAATAATGCCATCCCTCTTTTAATAGACCGTAGTAGTGTGTACATGTTATAGCCCGTCAAGTTATATAGATTTACAATATTATTGGAAATACCAGCCTCTGTTACGACTATTATGCCTACAGGGAACGTGCAGTTATGAATGACTTGTTGTAATTTCGTAAAGTTTTTTTTTATCATAGATCTTATATTAACATAAAAACAAGAAATATTTAAATGACAGTTGCTAGGTAGCTGTTTGAAAAACGAGTTTGTTGCAGTACAATTTGTTAATTGATTTATTTGTTCTGACCCTCTATTACAACTGTTTTCAATTACGAAAGCTGTGATTTGAAAGTGAGTGACTAATTTAGAATCACAGAGCTTTCCGGTTGTTTTTGTAAGCGGTTAATGTCATAAATAGATCGGATATATAAGATTCTACTATTGCTAGTTTTTCGAACACATACTTTCCCATCTTTAAACCAGATGAATTAAAAAGATTTACCTAGTTGGGATTTTGCTGTATACAATAGTGTTTTATTCAATTTCGTAAGTGCTTCCCTGAAGTATACACGGTTTTCGACGGAATCGTGGGGGATGTTGGGTACTAGAGCTCCAGCTATGAGCGTTCTTCCTTTGCTGACTTCAATCCATCGGCTACGAATAGCTTTACTCTTCATTTCGACGAGAATCGGGCCAGGTTTATTTTTTGATCCGGGTAGTCGTGGTGAGGATTGGATGTTATCTTTGTTTAATTCGAGTTTAACAGCTATAATTTCAAGTACTTCTGTTATATCTTTTGGAGGTAAACCAGCAGATAAACTAGCTATTTCTAGAGTAGATGATAGACTCTTTTGTTCGTAATTATTTATCTCTTGTTCCATCGCAGATACTCTCAGTTCTAGATTTTTATTTTTGTTAACTAGGTCTTGGTTTGGTCTCCAAATCCCTGATGGCACCATCCTGTTTTTTGATAGACTGCTCCATAGTAGAGATTTGATCACTCAAGAACTCCAGGGAGGCCTCGAGGTTGCGTATCTCCTCCTTAAAGATTTTTTTCATCTCGCGACTTATATCTTGTACTAGCTTGCGTGTGTCAATTGGTTGTAGGTTAGACCCTACAGCGGATTCATCATCTCCATCGTTGTCCTCTGGAATCATGAAAGAAGATCTTCTGGCAATATTTTTAAACAGTCTTCACAGCTCCACTCGATACCCGAAGAGTTGCGAAGCGTATTCAGCTGCTGGTTAGATAGTTTGGAACAGGTGGCATCAGCGTGAACAGCTTATCACATCTGCTACACTCAAGGCCTGGGGCTTTCTTCGTGATATTTTTCTTACACTTAGAACATTTTTTTAACACCATCGTGGGTAGAACTAAGTTTTCCGTTAGCAAACAGTGCGACCTCTCGCTACAACGTCACGAGTCAACTGATTTACTTGGAAAACTAACAGCTAATTTACAAAAATAATATAATTATAACAAAAATGATGCCATATACAAGTTTTCACTTATATAATACTTTATAATAAACAAGATTGTGTCAAAACAGATATGTACAAGTATATGGCAAGTAATAGTACACTATCGAGAAGAAAAGAAATTGTTAGAAAGTGATCGCCTAAGTTGGTGGGTTGGTGATGTCTAGAAAAATCGTGAATCAAAAGGGCTTAGTTCTATATATAAGTTCTGATATATATATATATATATATATATATATATATATATATATATATATATAATTTTCTTGTTGTAAATTGTATACATTTAGTATTTGCCGTTTAAATGTGATGATCATTAAGGTTAAACCAATTCAGTAATTATGATATAGTATTAGTTTTACGCTACTTCACCAGATTAAGCAACAAAAGAAAGTTAAGTAAGTTCGTATGGTACACAATTTTCGAATTTCTTACTTTTCCTAGTATGTTTTAAGCGAATTAATGTAGTGTTTATCACTTATATTGAAGGCAGTTGCTTACTCTTGGGAAGAATTCACTTCCAATATCAACTTTTATATTGCCATTATTAACCAATTATTGACTGTGGTTTCCGACTTGTGATGGATATCGAAATTTTCAGAATGGAATAGGTCAAACAAAAAACTCAATTCTCAGTGACTTAAAGTTCAATTTAAAATATTCAATTTTCACATAATCGCAGACACAGACGAAAACAAAAAGCGGACAAACCAATGAAAAACGTAGTTCAATATGATTTTTTGAGTATGAAATTAAAATTCATATACAAGATATTGTATAACAATAACTTCAAAAATACAAGTATTAATTTACTTTTATTGCTAAATAGTTGCTACATTTAATAAGTTATGACTCAAATTTTACAAGGAAATTTAAACAAGTACTCAGTAATTTCAGAATTTTTTGATCAATGTCGTGATAAATTTACCCCTTATAAATATATTTTTCTTAAATTAAACTAATAGAAGTATACGGTACTCACTGTTGAAGCAGGAATTCTATGGCATCTAGAGCTTCATTTTCCACTGCTACGTGTAAAGGTGTATTTCCAGCATTATCGCGAACACCTAAATCTAAACAAATGAAATTTAAACATTAGGAGGCCCATTGTAGCTTAGAGAGAGAAAAAGAGAGAGAGAGAGAGAGAGAGAGAGAAAGACGACATGCTGAAATTGCTTATCATCACCACTTCTAAATGTTGAAAAGTAATAAAGAACTCTGTATCAATGACAAACTGCAAGAAGATTTTAAGGACATTTGAAGAACTCTAACACATTCGAGTAGTGGGACGTATTTTTCTCCTCACAATAATTCTCTCTGAATTAATGTACGTAAGTTTGCTTGGCAATTGAATTTACAAGCAATTAATAACAAATTAATTATACATTTAGCCCCATACTCCTCAAACTAAGTGCACTTTTCGCAAAATGAGATATAAATACCATCAAAATCAACTTTATAAAATTTACGCATTGGTGAAACTGATTTTTTTTAATACGACCTTATACAATACAATATAATAACTTTATTTCAGGCATCAAGGACTTAAAAATTAAGAACATTGGCCTATAACCTTAACCTAATAATGCACATAAGACATAAAGACACTATTTAGGGAATTTTCTTCTTTTGCTCATCCCTGTATCGGCAAAACTCTTCCCACAGGGCCAGAAATCGGCAAAAAATTGGTCTCTTTGTATTTTGCATGAACCTGGAGTACGTAGGATTCGAAGTTCCTCCATTCTACGTTCTTCCACGAAACGTAGGATGTCTTCTCCCAACGTACTTTTATCCAAATGGTGGGCTCCAACAAAGAGTTGTACTTGCGTTTATTTTAGCGGTCACGATAGTTACAGACCGGGTATTGACCGACGGACCGGGTATTGACCGAAGTCTCTTCTCAATAAGAGTAAACCCGTCATTCTCAATCTTGTTTCGGGTCACCACAGGAGCATCTACATTCTTTCGTTCTGCGACGGCGGTGAATTCGCAGATGTTGCAATTATGTTGCGCAACACAGTTACTTCTTTCCTCAGCTTTGTTGCGGCTCGTTCCTATTCTTTAAATTTGAAACAAATGGTGATGTCTTTCAACAATCTAGTTACGTCTACGTGATGGAACGTCACGGGAGGCATCTTGTTGACATCACGTGCGAGGAAAGTTGGGATATCATCAGGTTCGGTCTCATTGAACAGCCTGAAGATGACTTGCAGGTGTTTATTACCGAGTTCATCCATGTGACGTTTAATAAGACGGATTTTGGCCACGGTTAAATCTGATAAACCCTTCTTCTCTTGGATAATCTCATCCACGGTGAAACTACCCATCAGTATGTACTCCAGAGACAATTGGTCCATGGCGTCCATTTTTTGTTGAACAAAGGCCTGGAGCTCGTGTACTATGATAGTATCGGAGCTTTTAAGTTGACGCGCCATTGCAAATTATTTTCGTACAGTAGGTATGCTTACTCCAAGAAACTATTGCAGGTTCAGCTTTAGAGCCGCCAAATCGTTATGAAGCAATGCTGACGAAGTAATCTTGGAATATAAAATCTTATATATAAAAGGTATTCTTATGTGCATTTTAACCCTATTTTTTGTATTTACTTCTGAAACAAATAAATTGTATTACCGTATTAAATATTTTCATTGTTGTTTCGATATAACATAAGATTTTGTTTCTTTTTGTAGAAACTATAAAAATTGACATTGTTTTTGCAGTAATATACTTAACCTTACTTAATTTAATAACCTTACCTACCACGTGTACTTTGAGTTCAGGTGAACTTGATTTAGGCAGACGCTATTGTTAAAAATAATATAGTTGGTTGTGGAAATAATTATATTCACGTGCCGCTATCTCTTCCCACAGGTAAAATCGCCTAAGCCTAAATGCACGTACATGCTTTTTGCCACTGAGTCATCCGTAACTGGTAGAACTCAAACAACAAAAGTCTACGTGAATAAAATGTGGACGTGACATTAAGAGCACTAAATATAAGTTGGTTGCTCACATCTGCCCAAGTTATGTGCTAATTGATGACTGATAGATAAGGTGGCCAGAGTCTATAAAAATTTTTGAAGATCAATTACAATATAGAAGAATAAATAACCTTCTCACAAAACATCTATTATAACAATATTTTCATATACACATTTTATTAAGTTAATGATGGTTAATTAGAAACATAGCAAATACAGGTACAAAAATATCTGATTATAATAGAACAATTATGAATAATTTATTGAGCGTTGGTCACTAAAACCTGGCTCGATGGCTCATGAAACTGGTACTACTACAGTTTGTTTATCGCGACAAAAATACGTCTTCAACGTAGATTTATTTTCTTAAGTCAGTTATTTGTAAAAGAGAATTTAAGAAGAAACTTACTTGGAAAATATCGCTAACCTTTTTCTTGTCAATGTAGTCTATATAAAGTCTTACGTAATAGCTATTTCCTCGAGTTTATGGTTGGAATAACTATCAAGATTTATCAAAAATTAGGTCACGATGCTCGGATACATTATTCAGTTCTAAGCAATAAGACTGTTACGGACCATCTGTTTCTGACGAAGTTGAAATTTTACAAGATTTTTTTCAAAATATTTTTTGTTAATATAATTCGATTCATATCCACAAATTTATTGCAGGTTCTAAAATTTTTTAAACATTTTACATAAATCAATTCAAATACACTTTAAAAAAGCAAACATATTTTTTATCGGAGCTAAGTACATAGTACAGCTAAGTGCATACGTAAACAGTGGTAAGTTTTCTAACACCGCTTTCCAATTACCTTCTTTGTATAACCTTAGGAAACTAATCAGTTACATAAGCAGAACTTTAAAAGTTCTGTATTTTAAAGTTTATTATTCGATAATTGACATTACTGGCAAATTTTTGTGGTATAATACATGCGTAATGTATATCGTATGTACACCTTCTACACCTTTTAACCTTAGTTTTTATGTGATTGTGGAATGAGAAATATTTTACTAGGAAACTAACTCTTGTTCTCTTAATAAGGTGACATGAGGTTAATAATATATTTGCCATAAGGAATTTTTGTAATTAAATAGATATGTGACTCTTTTAGAATGCAAAGCACATTTTTATGACTTTTTTATGCTTAAAACTTATACTGAAATGGGAAACGACGTCCAAAAATTAACACGTCTGAAACTAACATCGCTCCTTTTGCTAAGCCTAGTGACTATGGTAATTTACCTTACAGCCTTACTTTAAGAGAAGCAAACATTCGGTAAATTAATTTTACTTTGTAGGTTGACCGTGATAAATATAAATTTATATATAGCCTTTTCATTTATTAAAATACCTTGCGATAATATTTAACATAATTAATACTTTAACAACTACATTAATTAAGCATTAAATTATCCATCGTGTCTAATGCTTCATATAGTCATCAATTAAAAAAGGTATTGTCTTCGGAATGGAACGAGGGGAGTTTCAATTTAATAAGCCACCACAAATTTCAAAAATTGAATTGCAGTTTCTTGTCTTGGTATGTAAATATACCTATATAATATTTATTAATGTTAGATATATTTAAAATAAAAGCTTTTAATTAAAAATTCGCGTGGACATTCGGGAGTATACTTACCACCACCATAGTTATTAATGAAGTGCAGGATGTTGGTGTTGTTCCTGGCTGCGGCCTGGTGAGCCGGGGTGCGACCGCGCGGATCACGTACATCCAGTCGTGATGGCTCGCTCAAGTAGAGACGCATAAAATCCTCCACATTACCGCTTTCTGCCGCCTGTTTAAAAATAACAATTACGTTCTAGTAAAATGTAAATAAAAAACCTACAAAAGATTTCTTCTTGGAGAGAGTTGGTGATATTAGGTATATCAAGACAAGCTTTAGGAGGTAAATTTGTTTATATATGTTTTTGTACACTATTATTATGTTTTTGTTCAATTTAAACTTCAAACTTCCATTTGGCACGATACTGACACACTTCTCTCGCCTCCTCCACATCCATATATCTACGCATATATGCTTATCCGTTAAGGGTACTATTAAGGGTTTTCGTTTTCGTTTCGCCAGTTTGGTCGATTAACTTTCCCCTAGGACGTCTCTTTCCGACTCTGCCCTTCACTTCTGCAACACAAATTTGCTTTGTCACTCATTCATTCTTTCTATATGACCAAACCGCCGAAGCATTCCTTTTTTAATCCTGGTCACAACATCATCTTGCAAACCACACTCCTCTCTTATCACACAATTTTTCACCCTGTTATTCAGATTCAGCCCTAACATAGTCCTTAACGACCACATTTCTACTGCGTTTATTCAACTCTCGTGCTTCTTCTGTCACACCCAACTTTCACTACCATACGTTACAGCAGGGACGAACACAGCATTGTGAATTGCCATACGTGCCTTTTTTGACACATTCTGACTTTTCACAATAGAGTGAAGGCCACATTTACTCTACTTCCTGCGTTTACTCGTCGTTTTTCATCCTTATCATATCTCCCACCCTTGCTAAATACGGAACCCAAATATACAAACTCATCTACTTGCTCGATCAACTTCCCTTCTATTCTTATTTCACATATTATCGTTTTATTTTGTTCTCTTTCAAAAATCATAACTTCCATCTTACTTGCGTTCACTTTCACACCACTTTCTTTTAATGATCTGTTCGATTTGATCGGCCGCCAACGACACAAAAAGAACTAAATCATCGGCGTACAAAAAGCATTTGACGGTTCACTCACCCATTCTTAGATCAAATTTAAAAAAAAAATCATATTTTCCAAACAAATGTCCATAAATAGGTTGAACAGCCACGGGGAAGCCACATATCCCTGTTTGCCACCTTCATAGATACCAAACCGGTCCGAGTAGACCCAGTTGATCCTAATACAAACACTAGAGTCCCTATAAAGAGACTTTAATGCCTCCATCAACCCAGCGCTCAACCCAAATGAGTGTTTGCCATAACACGTCCCTGTCCACTTTGTCATAAGCCTTTTCCGAGTTTATGAACGCACAAAAAACTTTTGGTTTTTGGCCAAAAACTTCTCCGCAATCATGTGCATGGAAAAGACTTGTTCTGTACACCCCACTCCCTTTCTAAATCCCTCTTGCACATCCCAAATTTTTACATCAGTTTCTTTCATGACCTTTTCGATTAGTATCTTGGCATACAGTTTTCCCACAACGCTAAGAAGGCTGATACGATGGTAATTTTTCCCTTATATATCCTTTCCCCTTATATATTGGATCCTTTTCCCTTATATATTGGAATCTCTAATAGCATTTATTATAGGCTGTTTTGATTGTCGCTTGGTAGTTCTTACGAGTTTCCAGAATATTTTAATATTTACCTGGAAGTTATACGATACTCTATCATTTTTATCCCTTATTTAATGCTTTTTCCTTTCAACTACTTCTTTTACTCTCTTAATTAGATGTCTAAAGACTCCCTTTTTTCTTTAAATATCATCATTCGTACCGTCAGAATTACCAGTCTTTGTTGCTCGTAAATCTAGCCATACTCTCTTCTTTGATTCAAATTCCATACGTACCTTATCATCCCACCATAACGTATTATTTTTTCTTTCATTTGTTTTCTTACTGACACCACATACGTCGGTAGCTGCATCCACTAAACCTTTCTTAACATTTGTCATGTATTCTCCAAGTCTGGCTCATTCACACATAATTCATCCAAACCACTTATATTTTCTTTCTGTCTACATTTGTACTTGTTTTTCTCACCTTCATCTTGTAATATTTCTGTTCTAATACGCTCGGCATAAAAGCAAGTAATGATCCGTTCTTATGTAAACCCTTGTGTCTGATACTGCACTCCTCATTTCTTTATCCACAATTATGAAATCTATCATGCTTCTATCATCACCTCTTTCCTAAGTATACATGTGAATCCTCTTGTGGCAAAAGAAAGTGTTCGTCACAAAATATTCTTTTCCATACATACAGTGAAGAGGCTTTCACCATTCTCATTTATACTTTCATCACCAAACGTTTCCAATATCCTTTCATAATCAAGCCTCTTCACCCCAACCCTTTCATTAAAATCTCCTAGCATAATAATATTTTCATTTCCCTTATATTTCATTAACACCATCATTACCATTTCCTAAAACTGTCTTTTCTTCTTTAAGCCCACTTTCATTCGAATCCATAGCAGTCTTGGGCTTACACATTCATACTCTTTCACAAATTGGCCCATTCTTTCTGAAAGGATGATACCCACTCCCTGGCATGCCCGCTCGATCTCGTCTACACCAGACCAGTATGCTGTATACATGCCATGTGTAGTGGCATTCCTTCCCCCGTCCGTTTCGTCTCATTTACACATAACACCTCTTTTCCTCTATCATACATCATATCGTATACTTCATCCATTTTATCATTCATTACTCCACATACATTCAGCGTAGCCAGACGGGCTTCTGCAATCCACTTTTCGCCCCTCCGGGAGACAGAACGTAACGAGTGGCGAGCCTCGTCGCCGGTTTTCCTCCCGGAGATTCTTCGCACCTCTGCCCCATTAAAGGGGCGCCGAGAACTCGGAGCCATTTCTTTAATTTGGTTCCTCAAGTTCCGAAATATGTGTTGGTATATTTTATGCCGTTACCACGGCGAGGAGCCGAGTCTGTGCTTTCGGCTTGTCGCTCATTTAGCACCGCCCGGGGGACACGTGTAGGGTGGTCCAAGGATCAGGTGTCGAAGCCTACGGACGCGAGCAACTTATCCACCTCGCGAGCGACTTATTCCCCTATTACACTATATTATATTAGATTATTAAATAAATAATATACAAGATTGGTTATAAAGTGTTGTTTGTAAAAGTAAAATTATTTTATACATAAGATCATCAATTGAAAATTTAAATAGACCAGTTCATTGCAAACAATGGAATATTAATCATATAATAGACCAGTCACGCGGGTTATTTCGTTTATCTACCCTAAGAAATCCACCCTGGGTGGATACTCGGAAACACGTGTTCATTTATCATATATCGCTTATAAGATATCGGAATTCTTATATTATTAATGTTTCTTCCGACTTTCCCCCCCGGCTGTGTAGTCGTTAATAAAAATGTGATAGAAATTTGCCCAAGATTACTTATATATATTACTTATATACATTAGCATACTTATAAAAATACATACGTACTTCTTGTTTAAAAGATAAATCTGAAATACTTTTAATTGTTCAATTACAAATCATTCATTTTAGAAATATCTTATGGTGAAAGAAATGTTGTACTGCAATTAATTTCAATTATATTTTATTGAAGTATTACTGTTTTATTATATGTATAGATTTATTAAAATGTAATAAATATTATATTAATTATATAAATACAATGTTGGAAATACTGTACTATTTCCAACATTGTATTTATATACTTAACAAATTTTGAAATGTTTTTATTAAGAGACGAATTTATACAGGTGTACAATTACGACTACTCAATAATGAAATTAGTGTTGATCATTTCCTGGACATATAGCAGAATTTATAAATTACTTATTATTATTTAAAACAAGGCAGTTTAACTTGTTTTAAATGCAAGACGTAATATAATTGTTCAAGTTTGTGGTTATTAAAAATTAATCAATAATATGTTTTCAATCAAATTAAGTATGAATATATTTTCTGTTGAACTGTACTTGGGTTGGACAGGCGTAACAACAATCAAAAAGTGAATTCCGATTATCCAACCCAACTAGAGTAAATAAACGAACACGCGTTTCCGAGTGACACCTTAGGGTGGATTTCTTAGGGTTGATAAGCGGAATAACCCAGTCACGCTTGCCACCCAGAGGACTGTGCAGTTAACAGATATCAATTTGGCATGATCCTAATGTATATCTACGCGTACATGCTTTTCGATTAAGGGTACTCTTAATTTAGCTCATCCTCCATATATCATCATCATTATCATTACTTACAAGTTCTACTGAACATAGACCTCCCCCAAGGAATGCATCATGCACACGCATCCATTGACTTCCTGCATGTTTTACCAGGTCGTCACTTCATCTAGTGGGGGGTCGCCCTACACTTAGCCTACCGGTAAGAGGCTACTACTTAAGAACCTTTTCCCCCATCAGTTTTTCCGGACCACCACCGACCGGAAAAACCGGCAGTTTTTCCGGACCGATACGACTTAGGACCTTCAAGAGCTTATTACTTTCTAAAAGGCCGACAATGCACCTGAAATTGCTCTGCTATCGCAGTTGTTCATGGGCGACGGTCACGGCAATCACTTACCATCAGGTGAGCAGCATGCGCGTTTACCGGCTCTTGTATAAAAAAAATCTTTGAGGGTTTTCAAAAGAAATTTACTTTTTCCGAGAGTTTCCTTCATTTAATTTGCACGTTGTTTGGCGAAAGTTTCATTGAACTCTTTACCATGTTTCTTTCAAACTTCCAACTTAAGTTACAATCTTACCTCCACTATGCTTTGAACGATATTTGCAGTCTTTTCAAGCATTACCTGAAATTGACTATTACAGTCGTTACATTGGTTAGGAATTCCCGGTAATTTGTTCCAATCCATAGCCCATTAAGAACAAACAATCCTGCGGATCTTGCAGAATTCGATTTCTCCGATATCGGAATCGGCTATAGTGAAAAGGTTAGTAGTAAATAGCCAACTTTAATTGGTAACGTTTCGCTAACCTAGATATTTTCAATTTCACAAACAATTCAAGTTTTTATTTTTTGTATAAAAATAGTTAAATGAAAAGTGGTTTGAAGATGAAAACTTTTTATAAAACCTGAAGGACTAACGTGCTAACAGTCAAACAGTTATCCCACAATCCATCTACTGGTAAGCGACTGCCTTAATACATAAACACATGCCAGCAAAAACAAATTAAGATGGAGCTACCAATGGATGCCCTCTCCTGAGGTCTACGGTAAAATTTCTTTTCAAAAAGGCAAACAAAAAAACAGTGAATACACTATTGCTTAGCGGTAGAAATGGGTGGGAGGGTGGATTTTATTATTTTCCCTAACCATCGATACCACCTGGATTATTGGCGATCCACCACTGTGAAATTTACAAGAACTTTTCTTCCTCACACACTAGGCCGATACGATTTGGGGACCTTCAATAAAATAGCCTACGCCTTTATAAAAGGTTTACAAAGCATCTGCAATTATTCTCCTTCTTATTCTTGTTGTTGCAGTTCTTCATGGGCGGCGTTAGTCACTTAACATTCTGTGAGGCGCATGTTCGTTTGCCCACTCTTACACTGGGTGATGATTTTTTTACCGTCTGGAAAAAATAAGGTTAATCCATACACATGTTACATGTGTACGGATTAAAAGCCTATGGCACTGATATTATACAATTTTTTTTATTTTACATGAACATAATATGAAATTGATCTATCAATAAATAATACTACTAATTGGGTGCTTATTATATTAATTTTGATAGTTTGTAAATGATTTATTTACTCAGTCAGTACTTAGTTCAAAAGTTTTGTTGTTATTTTTTGTACCGAAAGTTTACTTCAAATTAGTAGTATTTATTGATAGATCGATTTCATAATATGTAACATTAAGAAAAATGTAAAATATCAGTGCCATAGGCTTCAATTCCGTTCTCCTGCTACACCTTATTTTTCCAGTCTGTAAAAAATCACCCACAATATGTAATAGGTGATTAAATTATAGTAAAAAAAAATAAAAAAAAACACTCGCTAAAGATAAAATTGTTTTATTTTATCCTTGTGCACCTGATCAGGATACTAGGTATAGTCATTAAATTAGTATATTGTCATCGATCCTTAATACGGGTACAAATTTTTAAGTCAATCTGGCATCTACAAGTTAGTGGAAATTACAATAAAAGCGTTTTATTAAAAAAAGACGTTCAAAAATACATTCCCTGCAAATAAAATTCATTAAATAGGAAAAGTACTGGAGATTCCAAATCTAAGTGCCATTGTTGTCCTGCCAAGTTGGAACCGTCAATTGACCTCTCGTTCAAAGTTAGAATTAGCTAGTCGGACAATTTGTTCTAGATAAACATACTCGTCAACAATTACGTGCGTAGTGCTCTCAACAACTACCGGCACAAAAGTTTTAAGGATGTAATGCATGCTGTCTTATCCACGTTTATCTTAAGTCCTGACCGTTGAGAGATACTATTAAGGTCAATGAGAATAGTCCTACGTTCTTCAAGCGATTCTGCGATAAAGACCGTCGAAAAATCGGAGGCGAGTGATGCTTGTCATTGATGGTAAAAACGTATACATTCCAGAATAGTAGCTTGAAAACGTCTTCCGATGCAGCAACGAAGAGTTGAGGGGATATAATATATTCTCATTCACCTCTCTGCAGTTGGATAGGTTTCGTACACCGCTCCTGTATTCGGAAAGCCATCGTAGCACTACTGTACAAAGACTTTAGTACGTCGATATACTTACAGTCAACTTGACACCCTTGTAGGGCCTGTAGCTATACACAAATATCGACGGAATCATAGGCCACATACGTAAAAAAAGTGGGAAATTCTACTTATCAGTCTTCTGTACAATTTACCAAAGAATATCTTTCTAATACATATATGATATTCAATTTCGCCTTTTTTGGAAACCGGTGTTTTTAGAATAAAGGTGACAAACGAGAAAACAGTCCACCTGATGGTAAGTGGATGCTGTGGTCCACAGATATCTACATTTAAAAATGCAGATGCGTTTTCACTACTAAGAACTAAGATGGAATACCTCGATTCTAGTAAAACAGGTCTCCGGTTCTTTAAACTCACCATACGAAACACAGCAGCATTAGGCTGTTATTTTACGCTGGTATTTTGTGAGAGCGTGGTCGTTCCCCGGTCGAGCCGACCCATTCGTGCTACAACCATAATATAGCTGCAGCGTGTCTTTGCCACGTATAAGAGGGCTTGTTCGGGAATCTGAAATTCTGCGGGCAAGACGATTCGCAATGGCTCTCAAAAACGGAACCTAGACCCAGCTTAAAAGGGCAATCGATCTGTATATAATTCTTCAATGTCTACATTGTGTTTTGTAATCTTAAGAGCGCTGGCATATCACAAGACCAATACCGCCGCAACGCTCTTCCATTCGACGTCCCCCGAGTAGTGCCACCATGGAGGATAGAATTAAAAACTTAAACTGATGTATTTACTAGGCGAAAGCTGTGTTACGGATGGGGTCTACCCCTCAGGATATTATCAACGTTACTTAACATGCTATTTGTATAATTAACAAATGAGAGAAATGACATTGTTTTATTATATTTTACTTGAGTGTGTGTGGGTGTGTGGGTGTGTGTGTGTGTGTGTGTGTGTGTGTGTGTGTGTGTGTGTGTGTGTGTGTGTGTGTGTGTGTGTGTGTGTGTGTGTGCGTGCGCGCATGCGTGTATGTGTGTGTGTGTGTGTGTGTGTGTGTGTGTGTGTGTGTGTGTGTGTGTGTGTGTGTGTGTGTCTATGTACGATCTATACGGTATTAAAGCTATGTATATGAAATAAAAAGGTTTTCAGTGGGCTCATAATCCAGACTTAACAACCATTGGGTTACTTTTAATTTGCAAGTATTTCCATCAAGTTGATATATACCAATTCTGGCGTTTGCTTTATTATATAGATAATTACTAAGAAAGATAAAAAAGTTACGTGAAATTTTGGTGCAATGCGTGTTGTAGTAACAGACTAGATCATTTCTGCGCTTATCTTTTATCAATTGTAAATTATAAGTAAGAGTGAGTGTTTTTACTAATACATTGTAGAATAAAGAGCTGCCTGACAGATAAGCTTTTCCAATGCTTGTGTAAGTCTACAGTAGAGTAAAGAAAGGGAAAAGAAGCGGATACTTTTAGTAAAGCTCTATGTGCTCGTTTTGATTTAATTATTTTTGTACTTTTAGAACCGCCCCATGTTATATATATATATATATATATATATATATATATATATATATATATATACATAGTAGTGAGTCGTTCTCAGCTTTGATTCATGTATGTGCTCTTAATGAATATTGGGAGTTAATGTCATGTTGAACGCATTGTAAAAGTCATGTATATTGTTTTTTGTATAAGTATTTAATGACAAAATGTTGTTTATCCGCTAGACAGATACTTTATATAAGCTCTCCTGCGCATAACACGAAAACGTATATATATGTTAAGATAAAATAGGTTTGTATGTAAAAAGGTATCGTCCTATATAAAAAACTAGACTATTTGATCTACGTTTAACGTTATTTTCATTTATAACTATAGTACGTCTACAAATATATATATATATATATATATATATATATATATATATATATATATATATATATATATATATAATAAACAGTATGCGTGATTAATAATTTAGATTCGATTGACTAATTTATTCCTAGACCATGTCTTTTTATAGCATGCAAGAGTGACCAAAAATAGACAATAGCCAATTTTTTGTGTAACAACAAGACCTGTAGAGTTCAATAGTAAGAATTTAATAGAGTTTAGTTGAAGCAATTGAAAATGTATTAAGAACTATAAATATAACAATCTAAATGTTACAGCCTTATTACTAGAAAATTTTAGTACCCCAGTTAATATATATTCAGTTAATTCATGTTTTAAAACTGATAAGTGTGAAACATTCTAAATTCCAGATCATAATTAAAAAAAAACAGTGAATAATTGTGAAAACTGTAAAAACCTTTTCGAATGCAGAACTTCAGACTTCAAACTTAAGCTTACTTACTTAAACTTACTCTATTATGTCGGTGGCTCGTAATGATATCTCCCTTTTTTCTTCTTAAAAAAGTCACCCCCACACTAGGATTTTCCCCTGTATCGTGGAGGCAGTTTATAAACATAAATTCACAAGGACGAACAACAAGATCCGGACCAATTATTTGTAGGCCATACAAATACTTCCGTGCGGGAATCGAACCCGCGGCCCACAGCGCAGCCACTCATTACTAAGCCACTGCGCCACGGAGCCGTAACTTATGCTTAATACGAGGTTACGTTAATACGGGTTATGAGTAATTGATTAAGCTAATAAATGTAGCCCATGTCTTGGAAGTCGACGTACTCGTATGTTACGTTTTGTCATGATAGTAGTGGATATGAATGATACTACTAGAAACAGATAGTCATTATAGAAGACGTTAAAGTCCTTTAAGTTGATGCTTTGAAAAACGTTAAAGTTGCTTCGATGTTATTAGGTTTTGCTTTAGTTAAAGCTTTATCGCTGGTTTTGGAATAAGTTACTTTTTACGATTCCGTGCCTCAAAAGGAAAATGTGTAACCAGTGTAGAATTATTTTGATGTCCTTCCGCCCGTCAAGGCTGTTTCCCTCACGAGTGGGTATATATATATCAAGTTAAAATCTATATAAAATAATAATCTACAGTTCTTTAGAGGTGTAAAAAATCAAGCTTCTAAGTCAACTTAAATTTTTACTTATATTACATAAAGGAATATCGTTGCGAATTTAAGTATATTTATATG